CGCCGCGCCGCGCCGGCCGGAGGGGTCCCCGCCTTGCGCCCGGCCCGCGCTAACCTCTTCCCTTCTCTTTCAGCGCCGTCCCCGTGGGGCGCCCGGGCGCTGCTCGACCGCGACGACCCACGGACACGGGGGGCGCAGGTAGGGCGGCGCGCGGCGGGACGGGTGGCCCTGGCGCACGTGGTGGCGGCGCCCGCCTTTTCCCGCGCGGACCGGGGTGTCGCCGGCGCTATTCCCGGTTCCATCCTTAAAAACGCCTTTCCGAGGCGCCTCGCTTCGAGCCCCTCATTCCCATGACAGTTTTGTCGTTTCTGACGCTCTAGGGCTGGTCCTGGCAGCATCACTTGGGTTTTGCAGCGGTGCTGTGGAGAGAGGCCTGGCTGGGGGCTCCTGGCATACCGGGGGAGAAATGGCCCCRCTTAGATACCAAAATATTGTACAAAAAGGCCTGACTGCGAGGGAAGCGCAGGTCCACCRTGACAGGAATTGCTGGGCTTTCTCTCGAAGCAAGGGAGGTGGCTGCGGCAGCTTGTTTGCAGCCTGGCACCSACTCCTCCTTCAGTTGATCTTGGTGGCCTCCATGTTCCTCTTGGTTCTCTCCATGGAGAAGTCTGCCGCTGTCCCGGCTTTCTCTCCATTGCTTCCTGAAGATTGCTCCAGGCAGCAAGAGTCATGTGTATACCTGCAGACTGCTACCAAAATCAGCCACGGAGAAGACTAAATGCTTGCCGATTGGATTATTTTTCTTAATAATTAGTTCCAAGATGCTGTGGAAAGTTGTTATTTTCTGTGTGAGGTTACTGAGATAAATCTTCCAACACATTCTTTTGCAAGAAGTATACTTGGAAGACAAAGAGAAAAAAAAATCAGTATTAGTTAGATTAGTTAGGACGGAGAAGTGCGATGGGAGTATTAAGAGAAGTGGTTCCAGCTATTTAAGCACTCTGAGGCATTTTTACATGTTCCTACTCTTGATTTGCTTAAGAGGAAGAGGTAATTTTTAAAGTAGTGCTTAGAGACAGTGGTTAAACTCTCCGCAGAGAGTGTGTCCACATGTTAATAATGTATCTACTAAAAATTGGTTCCTAGTCCAACAGCTAGATAAGCCGAGCATGGGATATGGCTGCTGGTTTACAAATACTTTGCAAGATCRTGTGCAGCGCTTGGAGTTGTGAGTGACAAAACTCCAGGATGTTAAAACTGAATGCAATGAACTTAACCACTTGGACAAACCTATGCAGGTGTGGCTGGTGTTGTATATMGTGTTATTTAGGAAAACTTAGCTCAGATACCTCCTGGAATCTACATGYAACATGTAACTAACCCTGTATGTTATCAAATAACACTGGGGTCAYAGAACTTTTCTTAGAGCTAGTTTGCAAACTAAAGTGCTGCCGATTGGCATGGCTATTGTAAGGATATAGCTGCTCTTTAAAAAATACAGTTCACCCTAGAGGTACCTAAAAGTACAAAGTTATTAAGATTTCCTCAAAGCACACTTCCTACAAGACCTGACACGGAAATCCTTTTTGTATTACAAGAGTAGAATAATTATAAGAAGGTAATTGGTTATCTTTGATACTGTTTCCTTTCAAAGAAATGYTATGAGAAGTTAATGACTTTTAAGATTTATGATCAGTTTTTGTCCCATTTCTTTCCTTCGTTAAAATGCTGCTTTTGAGATGGGCTTATCTTTGTTCACGAGTTTCCTTGAATCTGGGCATTCAAAACTAAATCTGAGAGCAGTTCCTAAAAACATATCTGTGTTTAGCTCGGTGTATAAATGACTGTGAATATAGTTGCATTTCACTGCAAACGGGGTAGCTGAGGTAGAAAAGTGTTAAGTGCTGTGCCCGAATTTTGTGCTTACAAGAAGACAGGGTGAACACCTACACCTTTAGGTATAGGCCATCATGCTTGGGACTACTGATAGATGGAAGATGAAGTGGAAGCTGATTCAGCAGCAGGATTATAAGGATTTCCAAAACTGCAYGATGTTTATTCTGAGAATTATGTTATATATGTACCAGCGTATAGAAGTTGTAATTGTTGGAAGGAAAAGAGTGTCACAAGGAACACAGAGGAGTGTTTGTGCATGCAGTTTTTGTAATTTTCGTATTTTGTGTTAAGTGTTTTGGCTTAACTAGCTTAAAATCTACCTGTTGTCTTAGGCATGACGTGCTTTGATGTTCTTTATAGAAGTCTTTAATATAGACTGACTATATACTTTTATAGTACTGCTTATTGACAACTTATTGATAAGTCTGTAAAGAGCAGTAAGCTTGCTAAGTACTAAGAAATTTGAAAATCTCTTTTTTAGTCTGTGAGTGAAGTGTCTTAGTTACAACCATTTAAATGGATTCTTGTTGTTTTGAAAGGAGTTCAGAATGGCAGCTTATAATGCTTCATCTACTACAATATCTCCAACTCGGAGCAGAAGACTGCGCAGTATGAAGTGTGGACCATCCAGTAAGTTATTGTTTCTATCTGAAATAACTTTTTTGTTTGTTTATTTTTGCATTTGTATTTTGCACCATTTAGTTAGTAAAGAAAAATATGAATAAAAAGCTATCATAGATCTTCAAATAAGGGGGCCTAGCATGACTGGTTTTGAAGGGGTACAAGGTATGGCAGTTACTCATGTGGTCTGTACTCATCTTACGTTCAAACCAGAACCAGGTTTAATCATTTGAAAGGACATCTTTAATAGTAGCTTGTTTCTGACAAAGGAGTTTCACCAGGCCAGTMTGCCTGTTTTTTGAGATATTTTAAAATGTGAATAGCTGTCTAGAAGCAAGTAAATCATCTATTTTGTAGCTGCTACGTCTTGGGAGATGTTGTTACTTTCTATTTTCCTGAGGAAATGTATGGATGCATTGTTGGTAATCTATAGGTTAACTGGATAAGGCACCCTTAGCCGTGAACTTGCAGTGCTAGTCAAGTAGTGTAAAGAGCTTGCATCTTGACTTTGTAGTTCAATCTTACCTTAAGAAACAGGCTTAAATTTCTTTCCTCAATGTTAAAAGTCACCTACATTAGCTCTTCTGTCAAACCCTTTTCATTCTTGTCTCATATAAAGGAGATAAAGACTTTCAGAATAATTTTATTTAAAAGTGTTGTAAAACATTGAGTTTTCCTTCAATAAGTGTGATGTGTTGAGCTGGACTTTTGGCCTACATAATAGTTAATACGCCGATTTTTTATTCCCTCTCCCTACCCTGGCTTTATAGAGCAAAATGTAAGGCTGGTAGGTGAACAGGACTCCTAGCAAATGTGATTAGAGATGTGATATCTCTAAAAGCTTTTGATTTCCATGTTAACAAGCACGCTGAAACACTGTTTCCACGTGCTTTTGGGGAGTGTATCCCTGCATGCCAAGGTAGAAGGAGTAGAAGAAGGATCTCATCTCAATAAATAAAAACTTCCTAATATGAATTTTAATTAATGTGAATATTAATATGAACCTCTCCACTCTATGAGGTAAACTTACTCTAGAAAGTTTACCTCATAGCTATATATGAGTTTATCTCATAGCTAGTACCCATTGCTATAGCAATGGGTGCTAGTACAATTCCTTCTGCTCCTGACAGTTGAACTAGATTATTGACCAGAAGTAGCTCTTTTCTTAAATCTATTTATCTCCTTTACCAAATAAAGCAGCTGTCAAAGATGTACAGAACATGCTAAGAAATTTGTTCCTCTAATCTTTGAATGTTTTAAATGCAGAATTGTTCAATTCCCTATACTTGTTTTTGCCAAGTGAGTATTACTTTAACTGGGTTGATGGATTTCATGTTCTTTTTTCAGGATCATCAGCTGACAAAAAGACTTTTTAGATACCTTATGTTATTTTAAGTAAACTCTTGCAAAGGATTTATGTGYAAGTCTATCACTTTTTAACCAAGCCTGTGTGTGTTTGTATTTTGCTCTTAAAAATGGGCAGGAGAAATCTGGAAAGAGGGAGTGTGAATCAGGTGTCAGGTATTTCATGTGTACTTGTCACAGTATAAGCTTTTAAAGGAGGATGTGGAATTAACTTTTGTTGTCCTCCCTAAATACAGTGGGATAAACGTGTTGTTTTTTCTCTTATAATCCCATACTTCCCAAGTATGACATAAGTTTTTTTTTTTTTCCCCGCTCCTAATGCACTTACTTTGGCAATACAGTGCCGTTATAGAGGTGCTTTAAAAATTGCTAATGAGTGTCCATACTTAAATAAAATCATGATCGTTACATCCTTTAAACAGTGGATTTTTTAAATTCATGTAAACTCTGGGAAATTGAGCTTCTCATTGTCTGTGAGTGAAAGACATCTTTTTAAAGGAAAATGAAAAGCCCGACCTGTTTGGCTTTGTGCAGGAGTTTCTACTACCTTCTTGTCACGGTGTTGAGTGTGACTGAAAGCCCCGCTCTTTCCCACATTTCATAAGGAAGCTGTGCCATGGCAACACACATTGGGAACACTGGGAACAATAGCGTCATTTTGACYTGTCCGAAGGGAGGTGCAGCCTGCTGCAGTTCTATACTTCAACATTTGCACTAATATGGGGTTGTCTGAAATACTAAGTGATTGATTTTTAATTTTATATCAACCAATAAGGTGTGTTTTGCTTCTTTCACAAATCTAGTGATGTTATATATATGAAAATTATTAATTTTTTTTTGATCACATCCTATAACCTTGCCTATGTAGCTATAACTGAACTTGTTTTATGTGGACTTTTCCTATGAAAAGTGCATGATTTATTACATGGTAGAGATCTTTACCTTTGCATGGTGTTACTCAAATATATGCAGTTTAGAAAGAAATCTAGGATCTGATATATCTCAGTGAAACGAAAAAGCTTGGTTTAGTAGGAGTAAATATGATTAAAATAGAATGAAAGAAATTCTTGTTCATTTYTTGTATCCAATAAAGATTTTTTTAAGAATGAGAACCAGAGCAGTTGACAACAGATGACACTTTGTTTATGTAGCTGTTAAAGCTTTTAACTTCCCAACACACCAGTCTGTTTTTCACGTTGAGTTTGAAGCAAACAAGACCAAAAAGCATAATAGGAATTTGAGATCAGCAAAGCAAATCACTAATGCAAATATAACACAATTGTTGGAAGATCCCAAGAGCCTAAGATAAGGTCCTAAGCTATTCCAAGGCTTCTTGCAGCAAAGTGCTGTGGCTGGCAGGAATCTTTAATGATTCCGGTCACTGCTGCTATAGAAGGAAACTTGTCTCTCTATAATAAGTGCATTTAAGGATTGGTTTGAAGAGATGCATCAGATCAGAAAATCTGCAGCTAACTGGAAGCATCTGAGCAGTGAAGGATTAAAATTACATCCTACTCATTCACGGGAGAATCCCAAAGAGGAAAATCTTGCATCCTGTTGTAATGAGATATTTGTCCTYGCTTCAAGGCTGTATTGCATCCTGCTGAAACCTGTATGTCAAAAAAGTTGTCGTTATGGGCATTTCAGAAACTTAGTTGAAGGGCAAAAGACAGTGAAAGAAAATGTACACAGAGGCATCAAGTTTGTACTAATGCTCCTGTAGTCAAAGGGGACCTTGGAAGCATTCCAAAGAATGTGCACGGTGCACGTTAWGTGAAGTTACAAAACAAAAATCCAATAATGCTGACAACAAAAGTTAAAATATTCAATAAAATATTCTCTTTTAAATTTGCAAGTATAACATGTTAAGAAATTGGAATAGATTTAGTTAATAGTTTTTTTTAATGTCAAACTCTTGATTTTTTTTTTTTTTAAACCATTTCCTCAATCCAGAATAAAACTTGCAGCATAGACTTGATCTTGATGAAAGATCATATAATTCATTTTTTCTAGTACTTTGGAAACTTTGAGGCAGAAATGGTTTCTACGGTTTCCTAAACTTGGAAAATGCYGTTTGGAAATTCCCCCGGTGAGCTTCACGTGAGGCTGTTTGAGCATCTCCTYGCAGCAAAGGAACAAGAGCCGCAGGGGCAGGGATCTCCAGGACCACCTTCAGTGAAGTCCGAGCAGGCTGGGCTACAGCCCTGTTTTTTTAAAGGGCTGTAATGAGTAATGAGCCCAAGACCCTGCTCAGGGGTCTTCAAAAGAGGAGCTCAAAACAASTTGTTTCCTGACAATGGTTCTACTACCGCGGTGACCTGCAGGTTTTAATGACACCACTGGTGAGAATATAGATTGCACAAGCAGAACCTTGGTACTCAGGCCTACCACTGTTTGCTGGAAATGTCTCACCAATTTTCAATTTTAGATTTCAACCCAATGTGTTCAGCTGCCATAATGTCAAAGGAAAAAGAGGAACTAAGGACTATTTAATAGAGGGTCTCTTTCGGGTAAATCAGAGATGCAATATTTTTAAATAGTGTTTCTTAATTTTAATGTTCATTTTAGCCTTGCTGTTTCTTCCCTTCCTGGAGGTGATGCAATGCCTCTCAGGCTTCAGGAAGRGACCTAAATTTGTGATAGAAAGATAAGTCAATTTATTTAGGAATTTTTGTCCCTTTAGTGACAAAGATCTGAATGAACCCTTTCTAATGCGTTCCTGATAGCAGAGGAAGTATTTCAATGTTAATCGTCTAGAAATTGATTGACTAAATACCGATTAAAGAAGGCTCCTCTATTTACAGTAGCAAGATCATGGGAGGTGAASCAGGATTATCACCGTCTCCCTCTCACTAGCTGGCTAAGGATAACTAGGTCTTTGCGCGCAGAACTCTCCTTGTAAGGGACAATACAAGAATGTCAAAGGGGCAACAGCTGGTGCAAAATCTAAAATTATCGTATTTCCTTGGAACTGTGTGTTGACAGAAGAAGACTTCATACAAAGGAAAAAACTTCTCGTARGAGATTCTGAATCTGGTGCGATTCCTTTCCTGTCCAAAAGGGAGCCGGGGGATGCTGCSGGTTGCAGCAAGTGTCTCCCCGATGGTCTGAAGCCACTTAGGAGGGAGAAGCAGAACCATCCAGCCTGCAGCAGCACAAGGGCACTGCCTTGCCCTGCAGCTCGCAGGAACATGACTTGCAGGCTGATTGCAGCTCATTGTGACCAGACAGGCCGTGGGGCACAGTCCCAGGGAGGCAAAGAAGGGACCCGAGCTCGGGTTACCCGGGGCTCACCGCGCTCGAGATGAAAGGGATCCGTGTCTGCCTCTGCTGAGGAGAAGAATGTGGCTCTTGCCTCGGTGACAGGTTTGCTCGCGGCGCGAATGTAAATCACCCAGCCCATCCACAAGGGCTAGAGGGGCCTCTCTACGTGGTGCCTGCCATTAATTGCTGAAATGGAGCTCAGCCCAGCCAGGTGGGAGAAGAATTTGAGCTGGATGGTTGGCTTAGCCGCGCAAAGCAGCGTTCTCTTTCACTCTGCCTGCTTTGTTCTTTTCATCATRGCCTTTTGGTTTATTTCTGGGGAGGCGAGGGAAAGGCTGGGAAAAAAAATATTTTCTAATGTTTTTGCAAATGAAAAAGGCCATAAAAATATCATCAAGGAAATACGGATATATGGTGCAGGAACTGAGTAATTCTGCAAGATTGTAATTGGAGACCGGATATAGTATCGGCTAGTCTAATTTAGATTAATATACACTCTTTGTAATAATAGCAGTACATTTCTTGAGAAATCTTCTTCATTCTAGCATTCAAGCTAGCACGTGATGGAGCACAGAGACATTCCTCTAAGTAGCTAAGATTTCACAAAGCAGAAGAAACTCAAAGGTGGCCTTTTATCTCATAAAACATTTATCTCATAAAACATAAAACATAACAAGAGTTAACGGTGAGATCTGAAACATTTTTGAAATGGTTTCATTAAAGGCAATACATTAACAGTCTGTAACTTCCAACAGATTGAAAGCTTGTGTGCATATCAGGAACACAGTCGACCTGATGGCTGCATCTAAATGCAGTCTGTGTGTGAGAAGCCCGTGTGCAAACCCTGAGTGTGAAATTTATTTTCAGAGGCACTTGAAAATGTTCAAACTAAAGTAGGGGCTTAATATGAAGCTGGTGCTTGTTCATCACAGCTTGCTGAAAATGCTGTTATCAGAATYTATGTTACTTTTGGCTGGGACGTGCCCGCAGGATACCCTCAGTGTGCTGCCCACTTTCAGATTATTTTGGTGGATTTAAAGCTGCTGAGATGAACGTGTAACTTGCTGTGTCCTGTAGCGCTGTTTCTGCTGAAGTTCTTTGCTGGCAAAGCAGAATCATTACTTGCTATAAAACGTGCTGTTAGAGGAGACTGGTATTGAAGAGCACCAGTAAAATGCACTTCTAGTATAGAGCTTATGCCAGCTACGTCCTGACTTCAGGACACACCAGTGGCTGATTAGATATTTTGTAAGTAAGGCTTCTACTGAGATAGAAGGAATATGTCTTATTCTGTGAAGTCTTTTTATTTATTTATTTTTGCTCTATCAGGATAGCACTTAGGTAATTTGTCTGTAAAGGCTGTTTTTAAAGAATGTTCGGTTTCTAAAAATAAGGAAAATTAAAAAACTAAAATTTCAGTTTCTCAGAACAGCATTTTCTTTGAAGCAGCTTGTATGTTTAAAGCTAGCTTTTCTGTAATAGTGGTTTGTTCATTCTCAGATAACAAACACTGTCTTTCAGTTTGTTTTCTTCAATCACTGCAAATACTATGACTTTTTTGACATAATATACAGTGATTGAAATGCAAATTCTTTTCTAGGAAAACTCAAATTTTAAAAGGGCAAATGTTAGCAAAATAAATGAGGTATTATAATGGTCAAAAGAAGTATTTTAGTAAGTGTAAATTTGATAACTAAAAGTTTCAGCTTGTGCAGACTTTTCCTCTTAACTGCAAAAACTTGCATTGTCAGATTTTGATGGGGATTTGGGGGGCAATCTGTCATTTCACGCCAAATACCCTGTTTTGTGGAAAGTGGTCTTGCTGTACTCGAGTATCAAATTTTTCSTCTTTTAAATGTTTCTATCTCAGAAAGCTAGAAACCAGAGCACTTCTCTGCCTGTTTATGGAAAGCACTTGCAATTAGTGTGCTCACCAGTTACAAGTTGACAGGTCTGTGGCTGGGACCCTCAAGGCTCTGCTTCCTGTATAAATGTGTTCTCATCGTGGCCGTGACCCCCCTGYTATGCACAGCAATCAATCACATAAAGGGCAATGGTGCTGGGTTGTTTTGCCTTGCAATAGTAGCTCACATCCTTTATTTGTTCCTTTAAGAAGCTTAAAGCATGACAGACTAAYTAAAAGGGCCGTTTTTATTTTCTGTTTTTTAAATGTGCAGTAAATGTGCACTGCATTTCATGAAGTGAAGCATTTCACAGCTTCCCTGCTTGCTGTGATGGAGCCCTGAGGGGTTCTTCTTGGTTCACACAYGTTTAAATGCTCAGCCAACACCTCTTGTCATTCATGGAGTCCAATTCAAAGATAGAATTGTGTCTTAMGAATGGAAATTAACCACTGCTTATTTTGTAAATGCCTTGTTTTTCCACTCAGGTTCGTTTACATGTTTTAATGGAGGTGAGTGCGTCCACAGAGAGCACTGCAACTGCAGTCGATTTAATGCAACGGGACCAACGTGCCAGACAGGTGTGTAGATAGCAGCAACACAGGGGGCTGCTGGGGCTGTGTTCAGGGTCCCACAGCTGCAAGAACAGCTTCCCTCTGTCTGCATCCCCCGTTCTCTCCTCCTGCCTTCCCCTCTTTTCTTGTTCCCCCCATGGTGCTACGTAACTCCCTAYGCCACCGCATCTCGACTATATTGAATCCAAAAGATGGTGCCACTTGAGTAACTCTCTGTTTGTTAGTGTACAACACAGGTGCTGAAAGAGATCATATATGCAGAACATGGGGCCAGTACCACTTTGAAACATTTGATGGACTCTATTACTATTTTTCTGGGAAATCCACATATGCCCTTGTGAGACATACTGAATTGGAGGAACAGAGTTTTTCCATACAGGTAGGGGAATTCATTTTTACATTCACTTTTACTCTTGGTGGACATGCTGGTCACTAAATTGAAGATGTCAAAAATAATTTTACATTATAGTAAAGGGTCCTACAAAGTAATCTGGCAGTAGTGTATGTTACTAGTTACTCTAGCCCAAAATGTAAATGATTGCAAGTAAACTGAGGTGTTTGCTTTCAAATCCTACTGCTGCTGTGGAAAGACTGTTCTGTAAAGAGAACTAGGTGTACTCCATTTAGAGGAGAAGAATGGGACCATACTATTTATTCCTAGTCCTACTAGGACTATAATATTTGTATATATTAAGYGTGTAGATTTAAATGGTGCTCTTAATATTCCAAATACTTAATTTTGACACTAGTAATTTTATTTGGCAGATTAATAATGATCCAGAATGCCATTCGTCTCCTTATTCATGTGAACGGTCCATTAGCTTATACTTTTCTGGAGGTGAAGAAATAAAGATGAGCARCAAAGTCACCTATAAAGGATCTGGGTAATTTCCCTCCCGTTTATGATGCCGGTTCCGCGCTGACATTAATATCACAGCATTGTTTTGATCGGCATTTCCTGGGAAGGTCACRTTTGACATTGGTTTTGTGTCTGCCTCTGGCGTTGCCCATTTCAGGGTCCGGTTGCCCTTTGTCGCTGGGAACCTGCGCATCCAGAGGCTGGCTGGGTACTTCCTGCTCAGGCACCGGGACGCCTTCACGCTGGCTTGGGATGGRGCCTCTGCAGCATATATCAAAATGGCCCCGGAATTCCTGGGCAAGACACAGGGACTGTGCGGGAACAATAATGCTGTCGTGCAGGATGACCTTGAGACCAGTTATGGTGAGTATCTCAAACACTYCCAGGCATCTAACAGTGTTCTTCTTTCAGGCCGCCGAAAGGTATCTTAGGTTAGATGGTGAATGCTTCTGGAAATCTTTCCTTTAGGCTATTTGTCTCTGTGTTCCTCATCTTTAAAATAAGGACTATGTTTCTGTGGAGCAATCCTGCAAAGTGCAGAGTACGGTATAGTGTGGTTCTGCTTTGCTGGTTAAGCTGCCTCACCCAGTCCTGCAAAGCGTCAGCCCCGCGCTAGAATCTGCCCGTACCCCATTGAATAATTTACTTGCTAAATCAAAATGCTTAAATTAATACCCAGATCAATAGCTCATTGTGCTGCCTGCTTTCAGAGGCTTTCCCCCAGCCTCTCGCCTTTCGCAGAATATTTCCGTCACATAAAGCTGTGATTGTAGTACAGCAGATGCACTGCATATTAGCCATATCCAAGCAGCTCAGGGAGCAGTGGTAATAAAGATAAAGCAAGATAGGCTGAAACATTTGCTGGTAATCCAAGCAGTAATCAGTGTCGCTGGATTTTAATGATAGATGATACCTTTATGAGCTAGTTGAAAGCCAGCACATGCATTCCTGCTTGTATGAACATGTTGCACTTTATTTGCTTGCTATGGGCAGCCACTCTGCATGGTTGCACTGGCCCCAGGAGTGCCTTCCTTTCTGTGCTCTGTTAGTGGGCTGCCTTCAGGGAATTCCACAGAAAGGAATGGCTTGGAATTACGTATGTGCAGCTCATCAGTTCTCCTCTCCTTTTTTCCATTCAGGGATTTCAGAAGGCCCTGTCCTGCTCTCAAAAGTCCATCCTTGCCAAATCACCTGCGTTACCTTCTTTCCACCTTCTAAAACCCATCTTCAATATTCCCTTTTAAAAGAACTTTTTTTTCTTCTAAGGACCAGATATAGTCTTCAAACTAACACGTGATTGATTAAATCTGTTGTGGGTAGCATTTGGCTGTCTCCACTTAATGTGTTAAGATTATTGAGGTATTTCTCCAGAAAATCCTATGGAAATTCTGTTGATCTTCCAAGTCACTGTGTGATTATATGTGTGTCTTKTTTAGGAAAACTGACAGATGATGTAACAGAATTTGTAGAGAGTTGGCAGGAAGATCCTCCACAAGGAACACCCCGTTTGGATAATTCTTTTGTCAGTGAGCCGCCTTGCCTGACACAAAGCCATGAATCTCTGCAGGTCAGGATACCATGAAAGGAATATTCCAATAGTCTATGATTCTTATTAGAGCTAGAGTTTGTCTTAGTGCTTTTAGGGAGCCTGGAGATATTCTCATTTCTCCTCTGGAGGGGAGGATTAAGAGAGCACTTGCTACAGAGATTCCATTGTCTTTTTTCATTTGGCTTCTAGAGATATTTATATTTCGTTGGTTTTTTGGTCCATTAAATTGTATTGAAAGTAGTCAAATGCAATGGTTTTGAGTCTGGGACTAAATGAGCAAAGAAGTTGTAAAGTAGTGGCTAATTCTAGCACTGGTTCTCATTCCTTTGCCTGGAAAGTAGGAAGCAGGTCTTTGAAATCCTGTTTTTAAAATGTATGTTTTTTTTTCAATACCAGTGCTTGGAATTTAGCTATTACCACTTTTTTATCCATCCGAATCACAATAGTTTCTCCTTCAAGATTAAAACCTCCAATGAAGTATTATGAAGCTAAAGCTTATGCCAGGCATGTTTTATTTCTTATGCCTTTTACTGCCTGATTTAAATAAAATGCATACTGTACTAAAGCACTGGTTCATAATTTTAGGTTCCTCAGACTGCAGAAAAGCTTTTTTGTTTTGTTTTGTTTTGTTTTTGTTTTCCCCAACTCACACCATTGAATCCTTTATCCAACAATGCAACAGTGCAGTGCTGGATAAAGGATTCAATATTCTGATTAATGTGGGATTGACAGCAACATATTACTGTTAATATCATCTAGTTAATAAGAGGAAAGGGGTTCCTGGAGCTTTTGCACAGTATGCTCTTCTGCTTAAGTTTTGTGTTTCGAAGATATTAAAAAACAGTCCCTGTCATTTTAGAGGATGTATGCTCTCTGTGATATCCTGCTGCACCCCCCGTTTGAACAGTGTCATGAGTATGTGAGTCCTCTTCCTTTCATGGCAAGCTGCACCAGTGATCTTTGCATGTAAGTGGATGAAATAATGTATTTCTTCTGTGTATCAGTTGCATCTAAGTGCTTTAAGTACAGTAAAATGTCTTTATTTTTGTCTTAGTGTTTCTGCTTTTGCTGTCAGAAATCTCTCGAGTTGTTCTCATTTCCTTTGGTGTAAGGATGACCCAAATCAGACCTAGCTACTTGCATAAGTCATTCATTTGTCCTCTCTTGAATATGATATTTCTTTTGATGCTGAGTGTGCATCATTGATATTAATAATCTTAATGAAAAGTAATAATGAATAGACAAATTCTGCATCTGCAAGACATCTCAAYCCAACAAAAAGAGGAATTTAATTGTAGGCACACAAGCTATCTGACTTGGTGCTGTCCTTTCATGGCCTGGAATGCTGTTTGTCCAGGTGGTTCTCACTGTTTAGAATACAAGGCAGGTGGGGATGACTTTCTCTTTCACTGACAGAAGTCACACATTTGCTTCTTGTGATTTTTTCTGAAGGATGCTAATCCTATTGTGAAAATGGAAACCTTTAGTCAAATCTCTCTTTATACAACCCTATCTGCTATGTCTCCTAGATTTATTTAGGAAATTATTGTCAGGTTTCAAATATACTAGATCTTTTCAGAACACAGCAGAAGATTTTAGCCCTTTAGATTTCTAACTTGTCAAACAACACAATATTTTAGTGTATTATTTGTTAATTATGTTGAATTTAAACAGCTCATGCATATGTGTAGCAGAAATGATACTGAAACTTTCATGAGGTTATGATTGAGTATTTGAATGTAGGGAGAAAATAACGTGTCAGTTTTTATTTATATAAGGTCAGCAGTTGATAACGCAACTTGGTGTCGAGCGTTAACGGAATATGCCCGGGCCTGTGCCCAAGCAGGAAAACCTCTTCATGGATGGCGAGCACACTTCCAGCAATGTGGTATGTCCATCTTTCAGTAACTGCATTTCAAATACTTCATATCTTTCCTTCTTTGCTCTTCCTCCTACTGTGAACTAAGACATATCTTGGTGGAAGCCTAATTCTGACCCCACTTTAACGCTATATAAACATTACTATTTTTTTGTACAACTTCTCTCTCAAATATTGACAATGACTTCATAGATTTCTGATGTATAAAATGTTATGAGTGCTAAAAATAGATTTGAATTACAGCTGAATTAATTCTTCATCTTAGTCACTGAAAGGAATTTTCAAAGAGACCATGAGAGATCATCTAGTCTGCGTACCTTTCCATAACACAGGTTCAAAAACAGCTTTGTTAACCACAACAGAAGCATTTCCCACATGTTTCTAAAAAAATTGTGGTTACTAAGTATTCTAAAGTAATTTATTTATAAATCTCTTATTAGGAGACCATCCTAAACTGATCTCAATATGTAAATAGCTTTATTGTAAGAACCTTTCTCCAAGTCTCCCATGATGCAAGTGAAGATTGTTATTTCTTGACACACTTGTAGTTTTATTCACCTATGGAGAAAGAAAGAATGAGAAAATTATATATATCAATTTATGTGTTTGTGTTACGAAAGCTGTCRATTCATGGTTCTAGACAACAAATCSTCCATTGACTTACTGAAAAGTAAGTACCTGAAACATGTGCAAGTTATTGATGCCATGAAGGGCAGTATCATAACACATTTTTGTTTCTCAATCTGTTTCTGCTTTGCAGTGATTACGTGTGCTGAGCCCTTGACCTACAGTGAGTGCATTGAGTGCTGCCCTGTTTCGTGCCATCAGCAGGCGCAGTGTGTTGGCAGTGAGCTCCCCTGCATTGATGGATGTTACTGCCCAGATGGTAGGCTTTTCAGATTGTTACACATACCTATGTAGTCTGCCTAAATTAAGGTATCCACGGGGTCTCTTCATAACCCTTTGTCAGCAGACTKCATGAATGGCCTTTTTCTCTTGCTACTAAAAGAGCCCTTTCCTCCATTGAGAGCAGAGGAGCAGCTTTTGTCACAGATTCACATTCTGTCTATAGAGCACCACAATATAAACCAAAGATATGGTTTGCAGAGCTGATAATGGGGATGTTTGGAAGTCCATGTGCACGCTCAAAACCTAGACAGGAGTAAAACTCATTAATYCTTTTTGTTCTGTGGCCAGTAACAGTTTGTAGTGGTGTTTCTTATACCCTCGTGGTTTTGGTAGCTATGTGGCTTAAAGTAAAACTGTACACTTTTTACTAAAAGTTACTTTACTGTCCAGTTTTCCTCTTGTTAATGTGTTTTCTTGGATACATAATGGTGTCTGAAAGAGAACAGAGCTAGTTACTGTGGCTGTTCAAACTATGCCTCTTACCCATACCCTGATAGTTTGTAAATGGAATCAGCTTTGTCCTGCACTTCATTTCTACTGGGCTGTTAATATCCTTTAGGTCCTGGCTATAGTAATGGAATAATTTAAGAAAAGCAAAAGTAAGAAAAAATCCCTACTATAGTACAATAAGGACCAAAGGGTGCCTTATGGTATCAAGGCAAAGATTTGTGTAGCTGCTGGAAGAGATGCCATAGGTACTTAAGTAGAGCAGTGTGGTTTTTTCAAAATATAAAATATTTATGATTTACACCATCATTATTGTATTGGAGGCAATTTAGGGAGCGATGCACGTAATACTTTCAGAACAAATATGCATATTGAATAAATTATGATTCCTGATTGGGCTGCAATTTTATTCTTCTACTTGGCTGTTAGTGTTGTTTTTAATTATTAATCAGGGTACTCCATTTGTGAAGACATTCCACTTTTCTTTTTCTTGTTTTATTTCTTCGAGGCCTWGTTTATGAAAACGAATTGTGCATTAAGCCCACGGACTGCCCTTGTGACTTCCATGGAAGATTTTTTGAAATGGGCTCTGTGGTTCATGAGGAATGTAACAACTGGTGAGTAAATTTCCTTTTTATGCTGTTTTCGTTCTTTTTGTGGTCAGCAGAAAGAGAAGTCCCTTAAAGCCTATATTTCAATTAAATGTTGAATATTTTTAGTAGGAGTCTTGTCCTTCCATGGAGAAACTGCTGCTCTTTGGAGGTGTTGCACCTAGCAAAAAGAAAAGGAAATTKGATCTATCAGTTTTCATGGGGAAGAGGAGCAAAACCCACATACGCAGCAGAGAAAACTGAAATGTTTAATAATCTTATCATTTTGTAATCTGCATCAAGCTAGAACTGGTCTAGAATTCAAAACCTTAAAAATAAAATTAGTTTGACATTGCCTTATATCTGTTTATTTCTATAGCCTTACATGGGCATGGAGTTAAATGTTATGACATGAAGTTACTGTCACCTCGTTTCACTTTTATTTCAGCACTTGCATTGGAGGAAAGTGGATTTGCACAAATCTTACATGTCCAGGTATGTGAAAAGATATGTGTTGGATACTTTTTTTGTATACACACGTACTGGACTAAATATTAAAATATTCTGTATAACAACTATGTGGCTTTTCCAGCGGAGTGTAGTAATGCCTCTCACAGCGGGTCACTACTGTGTAATGTTTCTGACAGGTGACACTACCTGACTGCGCCTGTTGTCAAACTAAAATAAAAATCTTCTCCTGACAGACTTAGCTATGTATTATCGAGGAGTTTCTAAATGCATGCTTAGGAAAGGCATGTCAAGAAGACGAGGTGTTTTCTGTGTACTTAGGTTTGTTTTCTGTTGTGTCTGTCAGCTGAGTGCTCCGTTTCGGGCGACATTCATTTCACGACCTTCGATGGGCGCAAGTACACGTTCCAGGCTGCCTGCCAGTATGTTCTAGCAAAGAGCCTTACGTCTGGAGAATTCACTGTATCCTTGCAAAATGCTCCATGTGGACAGGTAAACCTGAAAACCTTCCTATTATGTTTATATCCTGAAGAGAAGCTGTGTTAAGCAGGTCAAGCCCAGCCCTCCTTCCCCCAAATCCCCAAGCTACTTGCAACTGAATAATCAGCAGCTACAATTTTCCTTACTCTCAGAATAGCCCAACAGTAGCTGTGATAGAGGAAGCCCGTGCATAGATCTCATGCTTTTTCACAGTAAAAAGATTGTGCTCTAGTATTTTAATTCAGTGTTTGACTATGTTGTTAAATATCATATGATGGTTCTTGAAAGAAATTCTAGATGATGACTGTTTAATTTTTTAATTTTTWAAAGTTTTCTAAATATGTCTTTATGGACTTGCAGCCAGTACATAATAAGCCTGCTGCTTTTTACTGCTTGAAGGAAGAAAGACCTGTTGGTGCCTTGAATACAGGTTTCTCTTTTGGCTTTGTTCTTGCAGTTTGAAATTCACTTTTATTTACATTGACATGAGAAACTCTGGGTAGCTTTTGGATCTATCTCAGATCTGGGTATGTGTATGCCTCTGTTTAGCGTTGTACATTCTTAGTCTACACAACTCATTTTGGGCAAGCATAGGTGTGCATATACTTAAATACAGCTGATACTCAAGATACTCCTAGTTTATATTTTTAAAAGTCTTATAGCATTCATGGAAGTTCCCAAATAGTTTGTCTGCTTTATCTTGAAGACCCATTTCTTCTTCCCTGTGTATTATGAACGTGTTACAGAACAACATATGTTGCAGAATACTGTACATGTAAGATATGGAACACCAGATAAGATTTTTGCTAATTTATTTGCTACTTATACAATTCTGATGAAAAGAGCATTTCTGCTGAAAAGAACAAATGAATGAAAAGAACATTTTCTTCTTATCATGTTATTGTTTTCTTCTTAATTTTGAGAAAGTTTTGGTGTGTTAGAACAGGTCTGCAGCCTACAYAGGTGCGATGAGACATATAGCTGAACTAGTTTCTGGGGTCAGGCTTTTCTCACTGACTTTGTTGTGTCACTGGCTTATATATGAATAGAAAGGCAGAACTTATTCACTGTTCTGTTCAGCTAGTGCTCCAGTAGTATTAGCATCATATATGCTATTAATGATGCCAGCTGTTGAGGTTGAGGACTAAACTRCTGGCCCTGTGCTCTAAAAGCAAGGTGTTAAACTTGTTATCTTGGCCAAGTTTGGGTTCTGGCTCTGCTTTTTGGTCTCATATAATGATTTAACTTGGAAGCAAGTATGTGGACAGTTGAACTGTTTATAGACTTAAATAGGCTTTCTTATTATTTGCTTTCTACATTTCTTCCTATGCAATGTGTTAGGTGCAAATTTCCATTCTTACTGTGGTAAGTGCAAGTGTTGTTGCAATGATGTACGTTGGGTAAAATCAAACTTAGAGTGTTACTGTTGGTTTCTGTGCAGGTAGYACGTTAAGGCAGGAGTGCCTGGGCATAGGAGAGGTTGGCAGCATTGTAAAAGGTGGTAGCTGTAGTGTGAGTACAGTGGATTTTTAGACTATGCTTCTTTGAGATAGAAAATGTAGAGTGAGGGCTGTAAAATGAGATCTTGATAATGACGTACATACTTTTAAAAGTTTAAGGTTTAGCCTTTGACTGCATGATCCTTTGGGTTGGTAGGAACCTGATTGTCTTAATTGCATTTTCTGTTCACAGGACAGTTGAGATCTCTTCAAGGCACTGTCTAACTGATAGTTACTTTAGTTCCTACTTAAAATGCACATTCAGTTTAACTTATTTGAATCTTAATGATTTTTACCTGACTTAATTTTGTGCTAACCTTGGGATCCTGAGAGGTAACTTAAGGCAGTATCATAGTCTAAAAGGAACACAAATGCAGCAGCTGTGTGTGTTGAGGGGAAAACAAAAACAGGAACAGAGCCACTACAAATTCTCTTATAGCAGCATAACTTCCTTCCCACTTTTCCAGAGCCCATGAAGCTTTGCAAAGCCTAATATGTATGGATGCTGTGTCTGTTATTATATAGCTGAAGCCCAGCAAGACAGGATCTCTTGAGAAAACACAGTTCATTTACCAAATAGAAGTTGAGTCATGATTGAGGCATGACTTTTGGAAGCCCAGCCTTTTAGCCTGATATGTTAAAAATGCCACCAAGAGACAGCAGAAGTTATCTGCTGTGGTAATGTGCAAGAGAGGTAWTGCACATCTCATTCACTGGTGTGTTACAGAACACTCATCCCCTGCCAAACAGAAATTTGGATTTTTCCTTTATTGAAGCTTTAGGACATGGTTCTGTTGGGGGCAATGGCAGTTGAGTTTGGTGGCATTCTGCATTGMTCCAGAGACCAAGAAGAACTTTGCATTCACTCTTGAATCGTCATCTTCTTCCTGGACTTCTGGACTTACGTGTCTCTGTCCAACCGGGTTTTACAGCCCAACTGGGCTTCACGCAGCCCTTAACTGAGCGACCAACTGAGAATGCATTWAGGTATAAACTTCTGTAGGTCTTTGAGCAAAGCATTCTTGGGATAACAGGCAGGTGGACGAACAGAGGCTTAACATAAGGGTTAAGCTCTGTTAATTTAATTATTGGTGTAGAAGTGGTGAGAGGATCAGGAGAGCACTTTGTGTGTGCTGTAACCCAAAGGTGCAGGCTTCAAAGCAGACATTCAGGCATCTAACAAGTAGCTGGTACCATTTGGCAGAGGAACCACTTCACAGGTTTCCAGGCAACATCCAGTACATTCTTTCCATTTATAAAAATTAATGAATTGAAATGGAAGCTAAAGATCTGTAATGCACAATCTCATATTTCTCAGTGGTTTGAGAATTGTTTGCTTTTTAAAAATTCTGGTTTTTTTTTTCTTCTAACTGATCAGTCCCATCTCATTCAAGCAGATGAAAAAAAAAAAGAAAAAGTAGAAAGAAAATACCTGAAGAGATTTTAGCTCTCTGAATCACAAAGAAGCCAGTCATTTAGTACCCTAGAGCTGGTGACATAAGCAGTCATCAGGCAACAAGTGATTCAAAATGATGTGAAATTTTGTTTAAGCACTTTCTGGAAGGAGAATCAGTCAAGTGATCAGCACAGCTTAACCTTATCTGAGTTTCAGGTGACAGGCTCTCTGGCTTTGTAGTTTGTGTGATGAGGAGATCTTCTGAATATAGGAATTGTTGTTAAATGTCTAGTGAGAGAAATGGTCGTTCCTGTGAAAACACATGGTGAAAGTTGGCAGGGYTGGTGCTGTGAAAGAAACAGTTCATTGGACCAGACAATAATAGGCAGGCAGAATTTATGTTTCTGTGCGAAAGAATAATGAAGCTTTTGTCATTACTGGGTAATTAAGGTCTATACTATGGATGCTACTCCTCTCAGCTCTAGTCTGCTGTGTGGAGAGCAACATTTAATTTCCAGCTTCTTGAAAGGTAGGCAAAACTGATAATATATCAACTGCTACTGAATTATATGCCCAGATATCCAGTTTTCTAGGGAAGAGGCACRACAACAAGATAAGATTACAAGGACACGGCTTTAAAATGCAGACATCTGTCTTCACCATCAGTCCAGGAGAGCTGGCTAAGCTGACCAGATATCTGTATTATTTTTTATTTTGCTCTTATTTCTAAATTTAGTTTTATTTCATTTCTTGATGGAAGATGGCTGKTGCAGTACTACTTAGAGACAAGGAAATTCTGAGTGCAGCCTGTATTCCCATCCATCTGTGTCCGTGGATTGATGGATGGCTCTGCTCTAGCACAGCATCTGGGTCTGAGCTGCACGGCAGTGCTCAGAGATCCTTGGAGCCCTGGTGCTTTGTTCGTAATGTGGGACAAGATTTGCCTCATAAGAGGTAAKTCCCCATGGAAGTCAGGGGGAGCTGGATGATTAGGACTTTAAATCCTTTTTTGGAAAATCCTAATCTCACTTTACACCGTGAATAATACTATTTGCAGGATGTTTTTGCCGTTCATGTCCAAACCTGGGATATTTTAACTGGCTCTTATTCCCTGCCTCTCGTCACTGATGCATCATGTTTTCCATCACCAGTTACTTCTTCATGGCAGTCAATGGGGCAGAAAAGGGCAGCCTGAGGCACCCCTTCCGGACCTCAGCCCAGGGCCTGATCCAGTCGTTTTCCCATGGAAAGACCTAGGTCACTCTGACCCAGTGATTCCAAACATCCCTCAGTATGTTTTGATGTGTAAGGCACTAAGACATGAACAAATGCAAGAAATCGATATTAACCAGACACCGTTTGGAAATTGCACCCTCCTAAAACGTTTTCAGTAACAAGGTCTTGTAATGAGGAATAAATCAAATATATTCTACCAAAACTCTGCTAGGCTTTTCTGATTAATAAGCACCCTTTAACAAGCATTCCTTCCCCAGTGGCATTGAGAGGCAAAGCACATTTATCCGCAGAGGTAGAAGTCCTTGCCTGGAAACAGTGGAGGCCGCTGACTGGTGTTGATCATACGCCTGGCTACCTGCCATGTTCCTTCGTGCAGGTGTATTTGTTATGGTGATACCCTGGAAACATTCAATATTCAACGGGCCTCATGCTCGTGCTGCCTTCCACCTGCCTGATGCGGTGTCTAGTTCAAGATCTCCTCTGTAATATAAAACATGCGGGAGTGTTAAGTGTCTCCAGGCTTCACTTGGACACCAGGCTGTTTCGGGACTTGCTTTAGGACTTTTAAAGAAAGACTGGAAGGCTTCTCTATGTAGTTACTGTCTTTGTTTCTTTGTGCTGAAGTTGCTTAAAATGTGGGCATGTAAGTTTTTCATGTCTTGCCTGAGTCCACCCTTCAAAATAGTTGCTGATGCAGGATACTGGCTACAGGAATACACAACTGCTTCCTTGTCAGTACTTTTAGAAGGTATATGCATTCTGAAGTTAAAAACGATGGCTGAAGGTTTAAGTAACGCTTTCCATCTTTATATCAGCCTAGACCCCAAAGTGATCCTTGGAAACCTAAAAACGAGGTGCCAAAATCAAAGAGTGCTTTAAAAGATAGTCTAGCCCGATACAGAGCATGCTTGCTGCGCTTGATTTCAGTTTTCGTGAAATCAGTTAACGAAGATTAAATTAGGATCTTGAAGCTGTTGGGAAATTTCCCTGTGCAGGCAGTGCAGTTTATTTCTGCTGTGAAACTATAGCAACATGATTTCAGTGCTTTGTATTGAGATGCAAAGGTCTGCTAATTAATCACAGTGTATTTAAAAAATAAAAAAAAAAACCCAGTCTCTTGGCTGCTTTTGGCACTGGTGACCAGTGAGTGCCAYTGAGTGGTCGGATGCAGGAAAGGTAGAGCAGGGGTTTTTCTGGAGTGAGCTTTAGTCCTGTGGACTGAAAGCCAGGATTCCTTCCATGGTTTCCCTGCATTATCTGGTTGAACTGTAGAGCTGAATTGGTGATAAGAGCATGCAAGTCAAGCCACCTGGATGCTCTGATTGTTTTATCATTATTTTATGCTACTTTTATGACGCTTTTATCATCAATTTCTCTCATCTGTCATTCATTCAGGGAGCCACTGCAACTCCACTTGGAAGTCACAAAGTTGAATGCTCTTTCATATAATGATTGACAAGAAGCTTCTACCTTTTGTAATTGTTGGTGTTACAAAGAATTCTGTATTTTAAAAGCACCAGATATACCAACACAGCTTAGGTTGAAGAGAGTTAAAAGTACATTTTTTTTTCCTCTGTGCTCTGCTGTGTGGAGAATTCAGCCTTATTTGCAAATATCAGCTCAGCCACAGTGAGTTTTGGAGCACTGGGCCTCATGAATTGCACATGCTTTTGAATGACATGTGCATAACACGTTACAAATCTCTTTAAACATATATGTGAAATTATTCAAAATCCGTATGTTGTTAACTAAACTCTAAAGCCAGATATTTTACAAGTGCCCGTTGTGAAGAGCTTAGATACAACTGAAAATATTTAATTTTCCCCTTCACTACAATTTTACTTGCAATCTTAATTTACCATTCATCCTCCTTGGATATTTCTTAAAGCATATTTCTTGTTTTGCATATTTCTTACTTGCAGAACCAAGATGGATCATGTATCCAATCAGTCAGTCTTATTCTTAAGCAGGATCCCAAGAGGCAAGTGACTCTGACTCATTCAGGAGATGTTTTAATATATGATCAGTACAAAATTAGCCTGCCTTATACAGATGGTAAGGAATAATATATATGCATCTAATATCTGTTGAGCACTAAAACAGTATTTCAATGGCATTTACATGTTGTGATATTGTCAGTATTGCCAACATACTAAGTTTAATGATATATTGTTAGTATTAACCTTGTAAATTTTTAAAGAAATCTCAAGTATGTTTCACAAATCAATTGTACTTTTACCTTGTCCTCCAATGTTAGTAATTGTGCACTAGCTGTGTCAGGCTGGTGTCTCTTAGGTTAATGTTCTCTCCCTAACAAGCCTAAATACCATCTTTCACACTTCCTAGTTTGGTTAGTTCTTTCCTGAGGTAAAATTATTTCTTCTGGTGTTTCTTGACCGAATAATTTCCTTTCTCCTCCTCTCTCTCTATATTATTATTATTATTTTTTTTATAAGCAGCTCAAGTATATGCCAGTGGAAGAGGCATTCTTGCTCCTTACAAACAAACTATATTTTCAGACAAGTTTTGCGTTTTTGTGTGTACGTGGTTTTATTTTGTTTGTTTGTCTCCATGCATTTTAAGTCTCTTTGTCAGAAGATGTTACCAAATATCTACATATGAGTATGTGACTGTGCTCTGCAGCGATCGATGTCAGCTTCAGTGAGGGCTTGATTTGTAAAAATGCATTTATTTGATCTCTGTGAGGACCTCACTCTCTGGGAATTTCCTAAAAAGAGCTTTAATACAGAAAGCACATGGTTTCTTTTAGGATTTTGTTGTCTACAATAAATGATCTATTTGTACCTTTAAACTGATTTGCTCTTTATTAACTTTTATGAATCAGTGATCGCTGATTTAAAAATTTTGGTGATTATCGTATGTTTCTTGTTTTCTTTTTTGAGGTCTGAATTGCAGCCGGACCTCTAATGAYGAATTGCTTATATTGAAAGAATAGGGTCAGAATAGGGTGAAGAAAGAACTTATTTAAAACCCATATAAAACAAAATAGTGAAATGACTAGAAATAAAATAAAAATTGTAAGTAATGTTCCTTTGCCTTTCAACCTTCTCTGTTCTTGCTTGTCAGATATGTTTGAAATACGGAAAGTCTCCTCTGTGTTTCTTCAAGTAAAGACCCGCGTTGGATTACGGATACTGTACGACAGAGAAGGACTGAGGCTCTATCTTCAAGTTGATGCCCGGTGGAAGGATGACACTGTGGGCCTTTGTGGAACCTTCAATGGGAATACGGAGGATGATTTTTTGTATGAATAGCTCCAAGATTTCTATATTTGCATACACATACATCTACAGTTAGAACAYAGATGAAATATGTGCTGAAGCTGAGTAGATGGCTACCAAGAGAGTGTTTCATCTTAATGTTGTGAGATAGCRCTGTCTGTAGTAGGTTTTAGTTTGCTAAGAGAAAATCTGAAACTTCAATTACATGATTTTAAAATAGATTTTGTTTAGATTATCTAATATAACAATACAGTGGAATAGATAGGACTCCAAAGCACTAGTCTTTTTGAACAGATTTGCCTGAAAGAAGGTGTAACGTGTGCAAGGGATCTCCTATCTCCCTGTGTACTTTTTATCTTTCTGCAGCTCCTATTTTCTGCTACAAGTTCTAATCATCATTTGCTAACAGAGCCTCCTCTGTTCCGTGTCCAGCAATGGGAATTGGCTGCTGCCCGAGCTCTGCTTTGCTGGGATGCAGTGAAGGGCAGTTAGAGCTGCTGGAGCTCACGGTTTTTTGCCCAGTTTCTTTGTACCGTATGCTAAATAACAAACTGGCTTGCAGAAGATGAAGCAGCCCAGTGGAATTTGGAGGAGAACATGAATTTGGAGTGTGAAAGAATATTTCTGTGAGCAGGAACAAAAAAGGAGTTGGAGAGCGTCTGCCTTTTCAAGTCAATTGGAATTTTTTGAAATTAAAACATAAAATCAATTGTTCCTGATTTAAAAAAAAAAGAAAGATCCTTAAGTTTTGGAACGATTTTGTAATGAAAAAGGGTGTTAGTAGAACAATATTATTATAACTGGGTTAGAAAATGCATGGACTAGATCTCAAGTAGCAGAAAATAAYTATGCACAAAAGCTACTTACAGTTTTTCTTTTTGAAGCAAGCAAGTTTTTGTAGTGGGTTTTTTTTTTTTTTTTTGATGACAACCTTTGGGCTTGTTTTCAAATAACTGAGAAGTTGCCTGGATAGTTGATAGTTGTGAGAATAGCCCTCAGAAACTACAGTAACTTATGAACTGTGCAGAGATACGATACAAACGGTATCTCACGATCATCTATACATGTACACAAAACTACCTGTTTTGCACTAGGTTTTGGAGAGTTTCCATATGCAATCATGATTTATTTTTAACCTGCCTCCCCTCTGCTTGCAGCAGAAGTAATGCTGCTGGTTGCACACTTCATGCTGTCTTTTCCATAGAGTGCAACACCCCGTATTTAGGCATAGTTTCCATCATTCATCCTGTGCCTGAAGGTGCCTTCTTGTTTTGATGGAGTCCTGCCTGTCCTTGAACTTCTGCCCCTCTGTTGTCTGGGCCTCCAAGATACTGGTTGCTCCTGCAGTTGTGTCTTTGGGCTTCAGCTTTTCTGAACTCCTCTTTCTTCCAGGGACTAGAGAGCCTGGGAAGTGAGGTGTCCAGGAACAGACAGAGATTTTAGGCAGAGATGAAAATCAGATCAGATATGATATAAGTGGTGGAAGTATGGCTAGAAAGAGTGCAGGTTTTCAGGACAGCAATGCTTCTCCCTCTTATCCACTCTTGTGAAAACAGGATTTGGTGGGGTTGGGCCCTTCCTTTCAATACAGTGAATCTAATGGCTCTAGAGCACATAATTCTTGTTTTCTGTGTCGGCCTGAAGAGAAAAAGAGGAGAAAAAGATGAAGGTTCACTTCATCTGGCACCTAATCCTTTTGGGAAGGGTGSCTGGGAGTCTGATGCAATGGAAGGGCAGCTTGTATCAGCCGTCATGGAAGAGGTGATGGAACATTCTGTAAATTCACTTTTTTTTATGGGCCTAATTTCTCTGTTTTGAAAACAGATCTCCAGTAGGAGTTCCAGAAAGCACCCCACAGCTGTTTGGAAACGCCTGGAAAACCTTATCAGCCTGTGTTCTTGTCCAYGACAACTCTCAGATGGACCCCTGTGACATTCACCTACAGGCAGGTGGGCACTGAAGCTCTGTTACTGACAAAAGGATTTCAGTGTATGACATCTCATTTTCCTAGATGGATCAGGAAAATAACAACTAGTCCTCTCCACTGAAAAATACAGATGCTTGTTGGTCATGTTTGCTGACTTCGAGGCCTAACAAGCCATGTAGTGTGTTCTTTATAAATTTGTTCTGCTACCTGTRATGCTCTTTGAGTACCCACTTGAACTGTACTGTGTCATCAGTTGCACTTTCTCTTCCAAATCTTTGTAAACCTCCCCACTAAAACAGTGTTCAATCTGTTATTTGTGTAGCATCTTATGCAGCGGAAGCTTGTAGCATCCTTACGAAAGAGCTCTTTGCTCCCTGCTACCCCTATTTGAGCCCCATTCCCTATTTTGAGCAGTGCAGAAGAGACACTTGCAAATGTGGACAAGTTTGTTTTTGCTCTGCTCTGGCCCATTACGCTCATCACTGCCGAAGATTTGGAGTTGTAATAGACTTCAGAGGAAGTGTCCCAGACTGTGGTGAGTTGTCCTTCATTTCCCATCTCACTAATTGCTGCTTCAAGACTTCGGAATAAGAATTGGAAAATGAAATTTAAGTGGATATTACCTATTAATTATGAGGAGTGAATTAATCCTAGCACAATCTGCTGTGTACATGGCAAGCTTCTTCCTCGCCAAGGAGGAATTGATACCAACTTTTTTTTTTTCCACAGGATTGTTTCTACTGTTAGTTTTCTTTAGCTGCTTTTGGATTAAGAACTAATGTAAAGATTTTTTTATTGAATTTGGGGATTTGAAATACATGCAAAATGAAAAATGCACATGCATCTTTCAGATGCTGCGCGCTTCACAAAGCCCATGTGCAAGAGCCAAGCATTTTCAGAGCTGGAGACAAAAAGCTCCAAGTGCTTGATGTCCCCAGTGTAAATCTAGATTAACTGTGCTGGCTTCATTGTACTCACGATTACTGTGGGTTTACRTCTGTGTAGTTTACAGAGTGTAGTGCCAAGATGGCAATTTTAGTGGAATTTAATGTAATTGGGAATGAAAGAATAGAGAGATTTATCAGAAAACTTTCGGGAGGCACCCGTGTCTCTTGCGCCGTAATTTGAGAGATGTGTTTCATTTGGGCAGCTCTCTCATGTGAAGACACAAAGGAGTACAGTACTTGTGTAGCTACCTGTGGCAGAACCTGCCAAGCGCTGTCCGTGCCAGAGACGTGCAGCAGTGACTGTGTTGAAGGCTGTGCTTGTCCCCCTGGAATGTATTTGAATTCCAGGACTGATCGGTGTATCCAGAGGTAAGTAGAGCTGAGTTTTGTTATACACGCACTCCCTGTTCTAGTTCACTGTATTTGGAAGTACACCTGGAAAATTAATAAGCCTGTAACCCCTGTGTTATGCCTCTGTAGGCTTGACTGGGTTTGAGAATCATACGAAACTGTATGTTGATCAAAAATAGTTTTTTGTGGCACTTGCACGCATCCTGTGTGTGCAAAGCTGGCTGATACTCAGTGTGGTTTTAGCATATGAGAAATAAACAAGGTGTCTGGGTTAAGCTTCTGTTTTGTTACTGATTTTACCTGGAACGGTGCTTGGACTGTGTGGCAACGTGTATCAGCATCTGGCTGGTTGTCTTTTCTCTGTTACTTGTTTTCCTCTTTTCCAGAAGTGAATGCCCGTGTTATTTTCAAGGAATTGACTACCCACCTGGAGAAAATGTTATCATGTCACTGGGAAAATGGTAAGTTACATTAATTGGTTTTATCTAAATGCCACGTTGCGTGGATTTCTTTTCCTGTGCTTTTGATTTTATTTTTTCATTCCTCGTTTCTTTCTTTTTCTAAAATGGAGAACAAATCTACATTATTTTTTTTTCTATGCATCTGTGGGCAGAGCTTCTGTAATTCTTACAGAATACATATATTTCAGATTGCTGTGATTATAATCCAATACCTTGGGATGCAAGTAGAAAGAAAACCCCTATTCTGTACGTACATCCCAGAAAACATCACTCCTTCATTACTGTCCTTTCCAGTCTGTTTAACAACCTTTGTTTTCATTCTCAGCCCCTGTATAAAATAGTTTTCCAGCCATAAAGCTTAGTGTTAAGGAGCAGTGTGGCATTATGAAAGAAGGAACAATGGGAATAATGAAGCTCCAGCCAAATGTCCATGAGTCTCTGTTACTGTTGTGTTTAACATTTGTTTTTGTCCTGATCTTTTTTCCCTTTTGCATCACTGCATTCATGCCATCCTTTCCTCGGCTTAGCTTTGGAAAAGATAAAATACTACCTGGAACATTTTTATTTCTTGTTTAAGCAGTATTTGAGCTCTCCTTCCCTGTATCAGTTGTTACAGAAGTTAGTTAAAGATGAATAGACCAAATCATTTCTGTGATAAATCAGTGTAATAGTTCAGTCTCTTGTAAAGAGCAGATAAGTGGTTAATACTGTCAGATTCCTGTTGCAATGGGGATATGACACACAGGTGCATCCTGTAACCTAGCATCTGTGAGTACCAAACATTATAAATCTATCCCCTAATGTTCACATTAGCTTATCTTTACCTTAGGACAGATGCCCTGGGCAGTATCAGCCAATACACCGGGAACAGTCCTTGGTGCCTATGTGCAAAGCCTGGATGTGCTCTTGGGTGCCTTCCAGATAGTTGTGTTTGCAGAGCACACGCTGTGCAGTGCTGGCAGCCTTTGGAAGGCTTCTCCATGTGGATTGCTTGGCTTGATCCTTTCGTCCTCTTCCCCAGAGTCTAGTCTGCTTAATTTCATGGCTCTGAGTACCCAGAGGTCCACAATTTTAARCCCATTTGTATTTAAAAAGTGTTTACTGGTTAACAGGTACTGTGTTTAAAAAGAAAATAAGAAGTCTGTATGTAGGGATGATTTTTGCTGGACACATCTTGGTAAGGCTGTATACCAGTCTATTGAAAAGAGACGTTTTCAAACACAGAAGTTAGGACTGTCAGATGTTGGGTTTTGGCTTGCATTTAGCATTAGGCAGGGAATCACACAGGGCTATGTGTGGATGAACATGATGGAAATCACACAGATTATATTGTTTTTATCTCTTTTTCGTATTAGAAACACTTATGGTCTTCATCATGCCATCTCCATCCTCTTTCCTCAAGTGCTTCATTTTGGAAACTTCTAAGTGGATTTTTGTTTCATGTTTATCTATGGACTAGCCTTTCTACTCTGCCTTCTTAAAGTACTTCTTTAAAACTATTTTTGCTGTGAAGCTTTCCAAGATAAGCATTTGTTTCTTCTGTACCAGCTCCCTTAGGTATTGTTTTGCCTGTTGGCTGCATTAAACTATGAGGTCTTTGAGCCAGGGCTTTTATGTCTTTCTCTTAATGCTTTGGTGTGTGTATGTGACTTCAGATACGACACTGGATTGCCCAAAGTGCGTAGAGAACTTTATTCTGCATTTGCTGGTGCAGAGTAATAAATTTATTAAGCTCATGGGAGAGATTGTAGCTGTTGCAGAGGAACGGGAGACTAATAATGAAGTTCTTGGCTCACATTTATCCCTAGTACAACCCAGGGTTTGAAATGAAGCCAGTGCTTCTGAYCCTGGATTGCTGTCAAATTCCCTGCCATTCTATAAAAGTAGTAGTAGTAGATTGTGGTGCCTGGAGCTGAGCAGGAATGGGTGGTTATGGTGCCCTGTGCTGCTGTGCCGTTAGTAGCTTGTAACTATATGTATGGGATTTTGTTTTTATTTTGCTGAAATTGCTCATTGAATTTTCATTTTAAGTAATAATCCTGTTTTATATTCAGGATGTACATAATATATAGGCATTATATACAGTAAGAGTAAAATTACTCCCAGTGATAAAACTCCTATTGCCTTAGGGAGCGGAATAGTGGTATATTTCTGTATGTGTTTTTTATGTCAGTCTATATATTTTCCATTCCTTGCAGTAATGTTTGTACCATGCAAAGCTTTTTATTTTTAAGACTTTCAGGGCTTTTTCTGTAATCTTTAGGATACACACCAAGAAAAGGGTTGAAATGTTATTAATACTCTATGCATTAAAGCAATAAATACTCGTTCTCTAGTTACCATCCATAATGCATATGTATTTATACAGTTCTCATATTGATTTGTACTGAATACATCATTATTAAACAGTCAACAAGAACTAATGTTTCAGATTTTCATGGTGCTTATTACTTACTCATATATTTTTATTGTAGCCATTGCAAGGATGGAGTAATGAGTTGTGATAACAACATAATTGGTGAGTGAAGAGACAAAGGGAAAAGATGCTTAAAGCTTCATGAAGACGTATCCTCTCATCCCTGTGGAATATCTTCTTAGAAGCAGATTGTGAAATCTTTACAAGTGAATATTTTGCAGGATGGAAACCCAGAATTAGAAATTATAGATTTGTATGATTGAAAGTGGAGCAGGTGAAAAGCGGCAGCAGATTTGTCCAAAATATGGCTACATCTGAGCGACTTCCCCTGTCTTTTGATGCTATAGAATGTTTCCTAGATTGCTAATGCAAACAATTTTAGTTACATGACATAAGCATCAGAACTTCAGGAGGATAAAGAAAGGATAATTTTGTTCCATCGAACGTGGTTGTAGGAACTGTTCACTGGCAGTGATTTTTCTCGTCTTCTTGTTCTTCCAAACCCCCTGAATAACTTTGAAATGTCAAAAATGTTCAAATCACTGAACAACTTTGAAATACCGAAAAAAGATACTGCTTCTGTGATACATTAGAAAAGGAATATATTTTRTATTTTCCTTTTCTTTTATGTGTCGTAAAGCGTTAGAGTCCAGACTTAGTGAATGATGCTCCATTACTTCGCTTTAGAACATTTTTTTTCTCTCTTATTTTGACATTTCACTTTCAGAATTGCCATCTCCTTGGCTTTTAGCAGAAATCTCTTCCCAGCACTTTTAAGGTGGCCGTTTAACTCTTCGACAGCTGTATGGAAATACTCTTCTTAAAAGTGCAAAGGATAAAAGCCCAAACAACTATAGATAATTTTGAACTCTACCATCATTTTGGGCATTTTTGTTGCACATAAGCAGTATGTGCTCAGCACATCCCAGAAGTAATTTTGGTGCAGAATTGTTTTATTTATTGGATGGAATTTGTATCCTAGCTCTTTAACTAACTCAGGAAGCAAAAGAAAGCAAGAATAGTGTAAAAACGTTTGTCTTCTTAGTAGTACTTCCCTTTGCTGTTTTGAAGGGCTAATTCCTGACTAAATACTTAAAAAGTAATGTCCTTCACTGAGCAAATATAGTCATTTCACTATTTAATATCAGACTTTTAGGGATTCTGTGAAGTTAACTGTGATCAGGAGGAGCAGACAATAGTATGGTACTGGTCCAGTTTTAAAAGTTCTTAGTTTTCTTAGTCTAAATAATCTAGTTGCATAACCTGTCAGATACAAAATTTCATTTTTGAAGACTTAATTTTTTTTTTTTTCCCTTCCCAGCACACAGCTGCCCGGCTGGCCAGATTTATATCAACTGCAGCAATCTGCAAACTGATCCTGAGCTCAATAGAGAGAGAACTTGTGAGAATCAACTGCTAAACCTCACTTTCTCAGCACATTTTCCTTGCRTTTCCGGCTGTGTTTGTCCACAGGGGTGAGTATGGGCCATCTTTTAGCTTTCATTGAACAATTGTTGTCAAACTGTCAGCAGAGATTGCGTAGTTAATTCCAATAGGCACGTATCAGGCTTAGTGAATCCGAGCTGTCAAGGAGTGAGTGCTTGCAAAGTACCAAAGTTTTGGAGTCAAATTTTATATCAAAACTTGTATGGTACTGGTTTTCTATGTGTGATTTCTGAGATGATAACCTTCTCCCTTTCCTTCAGATATAAGTTAGTTCTTGAATTGAAGTTTTTATATATGTTTTCTTGTATTGGAAGGCTCAGTGTCAAAGAGCAGTAATTCTAAAGCTGTGATGGTCTGTTTGACTGGTTGCAAGAGACAAACTGTTCTAATTTTCTAGAAACAAAATAAATAAATTAGGTGCCATGTTTAGTGTAGCATCTGGAAACTTCATGTGTAACCATGGGGAACAAAATTAAATCTGCAGAAATAAGAATAAGCTGCTGCTTTTGTGTGTGTTGTGTGTGTGTGTGTGTGTGTGTGTGTGTGTGTAGGATCTCACTCTCAGTGTTTATGATATATGGAGGGAAATGGTATCGCAGTCTTTGTTTTTGACTGGAAATGTCAAGCAGTATAGATTAAGCAGAAATGACAAAATAGCTTAACATTGTTTTTATGTAGTCGATACACAATAGGTTAAACTAATATGGTAGGCCTTATGCATTGTTTTATGGACTATTCCGCTAAAAGCAAGGGAACAAGTTTCCAGGTTCCGTCAGTCCTGTGAAATCCAGTGTTGTAACAAAAACTTGATGTGTCCTTTTTCAGAGCAGAGATGCTTCTAAAGAGCTGAAAAAGGAGAAGCAGCGTCAAAAAGCTGTTTTGTGCCAAAAGCCTTACTTTGTGTTACATTGAAAAGTAATATTTTGAAAATTAATTCCTTGAGATACTGAAGAATGTTTTCTCCTCCATTCCTCCTTGTGTTGTGCTTAAGAGTATGTTCTAGAGGAACACAATGAAATGCAAATCAAATACAAAGCAGGTAACTCAGAGTGAAAAGTAGCAATTGCCTCTATAGGTGTCATTCACATGACTCCCTTTTTAACTCACACTTCCCCCTGCTTTAAAAATCTAATGGAGAATGTGGTTCTCCTGGAAAACCTTCTGATTTGGCTTTATTCTGATTAACTGACAAATTGAGGGCTTCAGGCCTTTTAAGAAAAGCATTTTATTCATGTTTTTCAGATGCCTGCAGAACCTTAAAACCAGTATTTCTYGTCTCTTGCTGCTTAAATAAGTTTTCTCTGCTGCACATCAGAAAGAGAACAAAAGTAATACAATGTTCATCACAGTGTTTGTAACTTTTCAAGTGAATTCTTCTATTCAGTTTTCTGCGTCTGGGTCGCTCAGATTCACATACTCATCCCTCTTTAATTATACCAAATGTGTGTGATTTGACGTGAGGCAGCAGCCTTTGGCCAAAATCTCTGCATTCCTACATGCTGTGCAGCATGGTTGCACTAAAGCCTGATTTGGACACATGCTGTGTTCTGACTCTTTTCCACTAGCTTTCCATGGACTCCAGGCAGTGGTGAACCCTGAAACGGCCAGCTTTTCTTTGGTGCTTCTTAAAAGCTGCTTTTCCTGTTGCTGTCAGGCAAAGCAGTACTGAAGTGACTGAAGAAACCTGCCCGTGTGTTCCCCTTTCCTACCTGTGTGTTACCCCTCGTGGCAGCAGGAGCTGCATTTGCCACTTACCACCTTTGTCTGTGCAGACCTCGGAAAACTGCTGGTTGAGGCTTAATTGGAACTTAGCTGGCACCCTGCAGTATTTTCAAGACCTTAAGATGGGCCCTGGGCTGTGTTAGCGGTGTCACTGCAGCAAGGAGGCTGCAGGCACGTGAGGCATGTGGTTATCTGCCCCTTCTGAGACAGGCTGCCTTTGTGTCCCAAACGCCACCCGGAATCCTGGCCCACTCAACTGCTCAGTTCTCCTAATGAGTGGTGTGCAGAGTTTTTTTTTTCCAATTTTATTTTGTSCTAATTTACGATGTGATTTTGTTCCGTGATCAGCTCTTCTGCCTAAAGATGCTGAAAGAAACGTTGTGACTATTTACTGTAGTTCTTAAGTGTGAGATTCTCTTTTGGAAACTTTACTGTCCGTATTTTATGGATCTTTTTCTTTTGTTGTTCCTGATGATGTAAATTAAATCTTACCGTTCAAAAACAATAACACGAGTGGAACTTTGCACAAAAGAGAGGTATATCCTACCCTGTTGGTGTACATATATATATGTGCATATGCATATAYACACACACACACACACACAYATATATATTTAGTGTCTAAAGTGTCACTGTACGTTTTTTTCTGAATGTATTGTGAAACTTCAGGTGTTAGACCTGAGTCTAACAACCTTTTTTCTTCTACTGTCTCTTCCTTCTCCCTGCCAACCAGCTATTCATGGAAAGTGGAAGACAAGAGAAGCGTAGGAAAGGTGGTTACTCCACAATTGAGTAGAGTTTTAGAGCAGCCTTCATATTACTCTTAACTTGTACAGTCTAGTAAYAGTGGTGAAGGATCCGTATAATCCTTGATGCTGCAGGGAGGCACTGTGCTCTGTCCTGCCATGCCAAGGCCAGCTCTGGAAGGGGCTCGTAGGTGTTTTCAGGGATATGTAAATGGAAGAGGACAAAATCGAACACAAGGTTTGCTCTAGGTTACTGATTATCTCATTAAATTTTGAAAGTGTTGGTTGTGTGATTGCTCAGAGAGACTGTAYGTGACACTATTTACAGGCTTATCAATCTAAAGGTTGATGACATTAGCCTATTTTTCATTCATAATATCCCATTAAGTCAGCATAATTATTGGAGGAAAAACTCTCATCTAAAAAGTCAGCAAAAGTTTTGTTTTTTTTTTATTTGATAGGTAAAATATTAGAAGTTTTACTTGYCTTTAGACACTTGGGCCACCCTTATCAAAATGTCCTGGCTTCCCAGAACCAGTAGTGCTCCGTAATGGGAACAGTCTTGCCATGGGGCTGTGCAGCCAGCACCTGCATCAGTTTAAGCATCAACCTCTGACACTCGTGCCAGTTGTGTTTTGTATCAGTCTTTTTCTGATGGATTATTTTAAATATAGCAGGTTCTAACAGCACCTGGGCTTGAGAGAGAGGCCAAATGTATCTTCACAGCAGTGAGGTTAAGGCTGGAGTCAGGCAGGTGTTTCCTACTTTCTGTTTCCTGATCTGGCGCTGTGAAATGAACTAACCAAAACATTACTACAACAGACAATTAAAATACAGGAAAACTGAGCATATGTCACTGATATAGAAACTGAGGAGGTTTTTAACAGATTTTATTCATAAAGACTCTTTTCATTTTACCTTACATGTCATTTTTTCAAAAATATTTATTAWCAGGATATCCTTAGTCTGTGCCTATACATCTCCCTACCAGAAGAGATACTTGAAGGAGATATTTATGGAGAGGTTGCATAGCAAACCTACACCTATGCATTTCATTGGACATTAAACACAGACATGAAGAAAAACRTGTGGTACTTCAAAGGGGAATAGCCCCTTGCATCTCAGTAGCATTTTGGTGCTGAATTCTTAGATCCCTGAAACCTATCTGTCTGCTTGGCTTTGCAAGAGAGGAAGCTGTTAGCGCCTGCTCCAGGGCAGCGCTKCGACGAGGGGACCCTGTTCGGTGTTACCTTGTCAGGGTGAGCCTTTCATGTCTGAATGGGGCCTATTCAGTTGGGAACTTAGAGCAGTGGGAACTTCAGCCCTCCACTGATTRTCCACAAGTGACAAAATGCCTGGAATAAATATGAACTACAAAGAACATTTCTTATACCCAGTATCATTTAAGAGATTCTTTGCCAGTATAGGCACCAGTATCATTTAAGAGACTGTTTCTTTGCCAGTTGGTATAGGTATATTTCAATACTTGGCGTTTAAAAAGAAGGATCTGTTTAGATTTTATATGGCCTTCAAGAAATTCTTTTATTATGTAACTAAGATGTTTCCTACTCCAGCTGTATCGGGCTGGATTGAGCTGGGAGCAGATATCAAATGAGAAGCAAGTTGAGCTACATGATTTAGAGCAAAATACACTGTGGTATCCTGTTAATAATTTACATGTTTTTGAAGAAAATCATGATTTTCTCTATGTAGATCTGTTTGTCACTGGATATGTCTGGATCTTCTGTGGGGTGCTGGACCTTTAGGATCTGAGCTTCTACCTGCTTTCACAGCAGATAATATAAAAATATTTTTATGAAATGAATCAATCAAAGATTTCAGATTTTGTCCATTACCTCGATGCTAGCCATGATTTTGAGCAGGAAAATTTAGTTCTAGTCTTGAACTATAAMTAGCTGTGCTATGGTTGTTATCAAACAACCAAATATGGTTGTTATCATGAAATTCTCCATTGAAGACTAAGGGGATATTTCTGCTAATAAAGCTAAGCATATTTGTGAGAGTTTATGTGAAAGTAAGGTTCTTTATGTGAAAGTAAGCTTCTTATAGCTCAGGTGCATATGCGGTTCATTTCATATATCCTGAGTATCTATCGATTAGGTTATTCTCAGAGTAGGAGGTTAAAGTACAGATGTAGAAAACTTGTTCAGTCAAATCAACCTCTTTAGTTCAGGCAAAAAAAAAGACTTGAAGAACAAGTCTGCATCATTTAAATATATACAAGTGGAAGCAAGGCAACTGTTTTTTTAACAGTTTGGCACATATTGCTAGAATGAAGGGGCATGATGGCTATTCCATCTGTAGGAAGGTTTACTTAAAATAAACGTAAGTTAATTGGCTCAGTTAAAAGGTAAAATGGTARAATTTAGAGGTGGCCGGACTTGAAAAATCTTAATATTTCCCTGACTTGAAAATTTGCACACTAAGGAATTAGATCTTCATAGGATCACTATGTCCAAGCTAAGCTAATGTTGAAGTGTTAGCGYTTATTAAATATTCAGGCTGAAGTGGAATTACCAAATTATACATCTATAAGTGTTAATAAAATTGTGCCTTTTTCAATTTTGGAAGATTTTAGATATTGTCTCTGTTTTCAATAATAATCCCATAAATCATTTAAAAATACAGGAAGAGATGTTTATGTGTGGACCTCAGCTGTATTTCTATTGAAYGCTTATTTCATGTTCTACTTTTCATAGCCTTGTTAAACATGGAGATGCATGTTTGGAAGCCGATGAATGCCCATGTTCTTGGAAAGGAAAGGAATACTTTSCAGGTGACAAAGTCGTTTCTTCCTGTCATACATGGTAAGCAGAAGTCTCTATAGGTATCATTTGGTTGTATTTCTCTTTCGGCTTAGTCTTTATGTTTCTTTATTTGGGAATGATAACATTTGTATTTGAGTAAAGCTTGATTTAGAATCATTTATCAAGGTAATTTAAATTAATTTTGATCATCACAATAATCTAAATGAATATTCCAGAGCTGGTATTTCTAGAGCATAGGAAAAAAAATTCAAACAATATAATGACCTTTATGAAACTTTTTACTTCTTCATCTTCAAATCTAGTGTTAAACCTGGGCAGCCTGAGAGTCCAAAACCCATGTTCATAAGTTTAAATTTAAGAGATTACTGAGCAGTGACATATACTGAACTCAGACACTGGTTGCTGATTTTTGTACACAGAAGTAAGACAGCTGATGAATTAGTTAGCTTTGAACAGAAGTGTCAAGTAGACATTGGTTGAGAGGATCACTCATTAGGTGTAGAGGGTTATTCCTTTTATTGTGTGCGTGACACATACCCTGTAACTACATCATTTTGCAAACTGTCCTTTGGCATTCTGGCTAGAGCTTTGAACACTCCCATTAGAACTTTGTACACGACCATTTCAAGAAGCTTCACAAGAGCGACGTGAAAGAAAGTACCAGGCCTGCAGAATCCTGAAATGAGCCCGTTTGCTCCGTGCTTTCCACGTGCTTCCTTCTCCGGCCGCTCCTGCTCAGTGCCAGCCGGTGCCAGGCGTTAGCCATACCAGAGCCTCCCCTTGCTCCGCCGCGTTATCCAGCATCAGGATGTCGGGGTAGCGGAGCCTCCAGCTTGCCAGCAGAGCAGGTCCTGTCGTCCCCTTCTTTCAGCCTCCTGGCTGCACTTAGCCAGTGTCTCCCCGGGGCAGCCCCGCGCAGCCACGGCCTGGCCGGCAGTGCTGCTCACTGTCCGCTCTGGATGTCCTCGCCCCCTCCAGCCTCGTGCTGACCGCCTACCTCTGCCTCTCGTCAGGTCCTCACTCTCTGCTCTACAAGATACTTGTAGCCCTTTGGTCGACTGGTGAAGCGACTCACAAGCCATCTCCACCGGGCAGGCAGGTAAAGCGACCCGGGTTATTCACCCCCTTATTTCCAAAGGCCTCTCCAGGTGGACCTGGTGTGGGATTGCTTGCATCAGAAAGAACCACTATATCCCATTTAATCTGTTTGAGACTTCACCAAAGGCAGCAGCAGTGTAGGAGGGAAGATATTGGATATTTACCTTTCTTTCATTTTTTTTGTGAGGCCAGACCCATTAGTTCATGCACACTTCCTTAAGGCTCTCGTGGCTTTTCTAGTTTTCCATGTCAAGAAGTAAAGATGTGCAAAGTGATAATGAATTTTTAGCAATTAGCACAGACAGGCTGGAAGTCTGCAACAAGCAGCTCTGCTTTCCACAGAGGTGACGTGCTGGCCATGAAGTGCAGAAGGTCTTTTGATGTCCTCTGGTTGTACCCAGGGGTGTATTTGATGTCTCTCTGGAAATGTACCCACTTGAGTGCTCATAACAGTTGTTGGTGGCTTCAGTGTTAGTTAGCACACAGRAATACTGTGGTATTGGTGTTCAATATCATCTTACTAATAATGTAGGATATAATATTAGTAGCATAAGTGTTGATCTCATTTCTCCACCGAACAGTAAAATGACAAGTAGAACTTGGTAAGTTGCCAAACTGCCTATGGGAAGCTGAGAACCGTCACACCTAGTGCCAGGGTCTGGCAGAACTCAAGTCTGTTTCCCAGCTTGCGAGGTGGGCTAGTTTGGTTTTCACTTTGAGGCCATTGAGGGAATGTTGGTTAGTGTCTATGGGCTGCTCTGTGGGGCCTTCTGTTTTCTTCTGTGCTTACTTATTTGAAATAAGTRTTAATAAAAGCTGGTCAAGTTTTAGATAAAGCTGATAGTTTGCTTTTCCAATTAGGAGTCTCTATGTCCTGATAGAAAAATGCTGATTTGCTTAGTATGAAACATGAYTGTGGTACAGAAGTCTGGTTGAAGACATAACGAGACTCTTGAGGGCTGCTTTTTGGCTTAAAATGTGTGTAAAGGAGCTCCCTACCCATTGCTTGATATGAAGCAATTCTCCACGGGCCCCTGATATATCAGCATGTTGAAAAGTTCTTGGATGGGCCAAGAGAAAAGCTCAACCCTGGTGCCTCACAGGCAGCATGAGAAGCAGCACTTGCTCTTTCAGCTCAAATGTACTTTCAATAGCATGAATACTCTGTCAATAAGCTTGATATCCTGGCTTAGGCCCTGCTTTAAGGGGACTAGAGTTAACTGAGATGAGTYCTACTGCCATCTGCTTATGCTTTGTTAAAGCAATGTAGTACTTTTACCAGTAATGCAGTAATATGCTTAGTGTATTTATGTATGTGCTCATATAAAGCACAAGCAATGGGCCAAGACAATGATGGGATAAGCAGTCTTGGAAAATCTGTAAAATTGCTCTTTTTTTTTTTTATTTTTTATTTATTTATTTTTTTTATTAAATGCTAAGGGAACAGAAGAAAACATGTTGCTTCTAGTAACTGGAACTGCCTTGAGTTTTATTTACTCTGTTTTCTTGACAAAAGCCACTCCTACTAAAACCACAGCATTTTAACCTCTCACATATGATAGCAATATGAATGGAAAATAGAAATAATACATCTAGCTTGTTATTAGCTCTCTCTTAAGGATTTGAGATGATAAAAAAGAGCCATTTCTGAAGTATTTTCGTAAATTAAATTCACAGGTTATTTGTAAGATRTGAAACACTTTAATCAGGAGATTAATCAACTAATGATTTTGAACATGAACATACTGTATAGCTATACTGCATAGTAAATTTAGCCTGTAWTAATGATCTGTATTTAGTTATACCTATAATAAACTATAATAAAGTTATACAAGACGACAAGTTCTGCAGCTTTTATCAAGGGAATCTTTTCTAAGTGTCTCAGTGATTTAGGAGATTACAAAATACCATATTGAAATACTACCTCTGCATTCATGAAGTGAAATCTTATCCATTCTTCTTTATAAATGCATTTTATTAATGTAAAATCCACGTTCACATAGAGAGTGAATAAGAACTGTAGTAAAAGGGAAGACTACTGGTTTATTCTATGATTCAGCTAATGCAGAAACAAATGTACTGGGAGAACATGGTGAAGAAGGCTTTACTCGTGTGGCTCATTATTGACACGAGTTACTAGAGGACGAGCTGTATTTCCTTTAGAGGCAGTTTTTSTTTTCTTGTTTCAATAAAAGAAATGCCCATGCAGTCTCCATGTATTTCGGAACCTGTAAAATTTAACAGGGAGAAGCACAGACTGTGTGGATTCAGTACGTAACTTCTTTTTTCAAAGCTTTTTTCTTTTTTTAATGTTGCTTTTAGTTAACCTTAAAAGGTGTTACTGCCCATAATCCTCATACTTAGTAAGTATGACTGGAGTGTTATTGCTGTGAGCATTTCTCTGGGGTTGATGTTACCATAACTGGTCCTACATTTTTCAGTGTTTGCCAACACGGATCTTTCCAATGCACTTTCCATCCTTGCCCGTCGATGTGCACTGCCTACGGGGATCGACATTACAGGACATTTGATGGACTCGCGTTTGACTTCGTTGGAGCTTGTAAGGTCTACCTGGTTAAGGTGAGACTTTTTTTAAAAAGCTTCTGTAAAACTGGAGTTATAAATTAGAGAAAATTTCTAAAACTGAATCTCTTAAAAATTGTTGCTACTTGTATTTTAATCCTTATTTACTATCACTCAAATAATAGATATAATATTCCAAAAAATTTCATTTGGTTCTGTGTGCGGTAACAGTGGTTTTGATTTAAAAGYGTGACTAAGAGAAGACAAAGCTTTCATGCAAATTTATGGAATTAACTAAGGTAAACCTTTGGATTTGCAGTTTGTTATGCAGTGTACAATCCACTATTTCTACTGCATGTTTCCTGTCTGCACATATACTGAGCTTTATGTATTATTCTTAAGCTTTAATGTTCCTTAAGCTTTGAACCATGCATAACATTATTATGCATAATATTATGCATAATGAACCAAGCATAACATATTGATGTTTCTGCTGATTGTATTATGCATATATATACACACACACACACACACACACACACACACAAATATATATATATAAAAATAGCTTTATTAGTTTATTATTATTTAACTGTGGCTATGTTATTGCTTTCTCTGCAGGGGACTTCTTCAACCAGCTTCTCAGTTATTATAGAAAATATTAACTGCTTTAGTACTGGAATCATTTGTAGAAAATACCTTTCCATTAATGTTGGAAAATCTTTTTTAATATTTGATGACGATACTGGGAATCCAGTAAGTTTCATTCCTTAACACTTTTTAAAAGGTAACAAATGTACTTTTGCAGGGGTGGGAAGGAGGGAGAGGAGTTTTTGTTCATTGGTAAAAAAATAAATTCATGCCACTTCAGTTGCAGAGGCACGAGTTCACTGGAAACCATAGACAAAATCTGGGGTGTATTTCATGAAAATGGTAAATGAGATGATCTTATTTCTTCTCTTTAGCCTTGATGTGTCTAAGGAAAATCTGGGCATTTTTAAGCCAGTGGGAGTTTTGCTCTAAATTGCACCGGAACTAAGGTTTTTGTCTGTTCTGGGATATAGCTCTATAGGAGGAATGTTCCTACACAGTTTCAAAAAATAAACTGCAGTTTCTGGTGTGCTTCCAAGTGTGAGTTTCACTTTTGTTATTTTTGGCCAAACTGCAAACTATTACTGTAAATATTCAATATTTATAACATTAGTTTAAGCAATCCTATTTATGATTTATAAACCAGCTGCACAAAGAAAATTTTGCCCCCTCTGTATTGCCTAGTTAAATCAGACATCTTCATCCTTGCTATAAATAATTCAGAGTCTTCAGTACATTTAGACTTTCTGGATGTAATGTTATATCATTAAGTGAAAATCTTATCTAGGAACTTTATGACTAATTTTGTGCCTCCCTGTTGAACCATTGATGTTTTAATCTTCACTCCAATTGCCACTGTGCATTCTATAAATTAGATATAAAATCAATTTGTAAAATGAAGACAATTCATAAAAATTCAACACTGTTCACACGCAAAATCCGGACTACTTTTGTTAAACATGTGTTCCTATGGGGCACTCTGTCAGTGTTTGGGACTTCTGTATGAGAACTACTTAGGTCATTCATTTTACTACTAATGTTTTTCATTTCCTAGCAAGTGAACATTTTGTAAAGAAACTCCTTGCATTGTAAGCTGCTTTGCTTTATTTTGAATAGAGCTCATCTAGTTACATAGACAGACTACAGAAATTACAAGTTTGGAAAGCTGGATTTTTTACTGTTGTTCATTTTCCTGATGAGCACATCACTATCCTGTGGGACCAGAGAACGACAGTTCATGTACAGATGGGTCCTCAGTGGCAGGTAAGTGGAAATCAGCATGCTTGATGCCATTTATTTAACATAATTATGTAGGTCTTATTAAGCGATATATGTTATATAGCCATGTGTCAGGAACCACTTAGGAACTCAGTGGTAGAGTCAAGGAGAGTAGCATTCAACTACCTTGTCTCATTTAGAGTAGTCATATACAGTAAGGATAACATTCTCCTTCAGTTCAGAGACTATATGTGACTGGAGTGGGTATTTTATTGAAATATCAAAAGTATATTGCCAGCAAAACACTTCCAATCAAATATGACAAATTTACAATGAAGCAACTTCTTTTTTTTTTCAGGGTGAATTGACTGGATTATGTGGAAATTTTGATTTGAAAACTGTAAATGAGTTGAGAACTCCAGATAATTTTGAATTAACAAACTCTCAAGAGTTTGGGAATAGCTGGACAGCTGTAGAGGTACGTAGTAACAAGAATGTAATTGCTAGGACTTTGCAGTATCTGTAATCCTGCAGTATCGGAACTAATTGCAGTCTCTGTGGTTCTGGTATCAAATCCATTAAGCAGAAGAACAGAAAGCAGAAAAATACTCATTTTCTTTCTATGTAGTTCTGCAATGTACAGAAAAATGACGTGCAGTATTCTGATATTCTCTTTCTGGTTAAGTGTGTTGACAGCTCTGACATTCGAAATCCGTGCAGTTTGAATCCACTCAGAGAGCCATTTGCCAAGAAGGAATGTGGAATACTGTTAAGTGAAGCATTTGAAGCTTGCCATCCAGTGGTGAGTTGTGATGGCAAATAGATGTAAAAGCCTGAACATAGCTCATTGGAGAAGAGGTCACATAATCTTGTTTTTCTGATGGGATAATTTTAACTGTCATAGCAAAACAGAACACACCAAAGCCTAGTTCATACCGATTCTAATTCTAATCTAATTCTGGTTCTAAAAAGTGAATATTTAACCGGTTTTGTCATAACAACGATGTGCACTTAGCTAATTGAGGCAGAAGGGCATCTGTTAGCGTCGCCATCCGCCACTTTGGCACTTTGCATTCTACGCTTCAGTTAATCCTATTAGTCCCTTTATGATTTATGGAAACAGAACTATACTCATTTTGTGTTAGCTCATTTTTTTTTCTGCCACGTTTGCATAATCATAACCACTTGCCTTATTTTCCTCCAAAATATAATATAGCAGGCACATTTACTAAGCGTATTTAAATCGCTTCACAGCTTCTAGGCAGTATCAGATGTAGAGAGCTTGTTACTAGACAAGCAAATGGCTGCAGCTCATTCAGGCAGCCACTCCGAATGGAAGGGAAATAAATGGGTCGTGCAACTTGTTCTGACAGGCAACTGGCTCAGTTGGAGAATGGGGTGACTGATTTCTAGAGCAAGGCATTATATAGGAAATGGCATATACCAAAATGTTCAGGTATTGAGACTGTGCGTGTTTTTTAAAGACTGTAAGTGTCAGACTGACTGCCAGAGAGAAGGAAGATTTCTTGTGAAAGACAAYTGGGCATCTTACAGAGAAGTTTCATGTAATATTATTTTGGAGCAAAATGGAAGTTGACGTGCAGCTTGTACTAATGTACTGCTGGTTTAGTCCAGTGCCTAAGGCAGGGACCAAGTTCCTTCTAACTTTTGAGTATTATTCAAAAGTTCCTTCTAAGTTTGTAAGTATTATTCAAGTATAAATCCTGGAATTATTCAGTAAAGCAAATTAATTAATCTTTAACTTTCTTAACACTTACAAGATGTATTTATTTGTATTTATGTGAAGGTTCTCTTACTGTTTCACAAGCTTCTGTAGGGTTCTGTGTAGTTTAGTAAGGTTTAAATATTACAGAACTGTGCAAGTCATAAGCTTAGGGGAACATCTTAGCATGTTTCTACTGGGTCATTGATTTGACTGAGGAGCTGAATACAGTAGAAGATTTTTGATGTTCATTTAGTTAACTGTTCTCTCTGTGTTTCAGATGAACATTGAGAGCAAAACCTTTAATACTTAGAGGTCATACATGTTGAATTCTGTAAGACTTATAGCTCTKTATTGAAATGACTGTGTGCCAGTGACTATATGAATAGTCTTTGATTATTGATGTTTGTGTTTCCAGATCGAYGTCACCTGGTTTTACTCAAACTGCTTGGAAGATACGTGTGGTTGTAGCCAGGGAGGGGACTGTGAGTGTTTCTGCACAAGCGTGTCGGCGTACGCGCACCAGTGCTGCCAGCATGGAGTCACTGTGGACTGGAGGTCACCTAGAGTGTGTCGTGAGTCTGTTTAACCAGCATTATCAGTGGCTGCCACTGTATATTAGGCTCAGACTGCAAATCTGTTGTGTTCATTAGAACACAGGCTATGTGCCTGTGTCCTAATGTCAGCGTGGAAAGACAGCAAAGCTTAATCTTAACCACTAGAGGTCACAAAAAGACTACCTTTATACATATATAGGGAGAGAGATTTATATTTATATATCTATGTATGTGTGTGTGYATATCTTAGTGCTACTAAAGAAAAATACTTTATTAAAATTAGTATAATTTAAATCAATATTTTATTCAAAATAATAAAATAAATATTTGGCAAATGAATAAATGTGTGTGTACCATCGAACTTGGCCAACTTGTAAGGGGTAATGAAAAACCTGCTTAGCTATCTTTTTCAGTCCTTCAGAACACCTGCAACTAAATTTCTCTTTTTTTTTTGTCTTTTTTAGCTTATGACTGTGAGTATTTCAACAAAGGTAAGTCTGAAAGGAGCTGATAAGACATCAACAGAATCTTTATGTTCTTGATATAATTCTTAATACTTTGTATAAAAATGTGTTGATAAAATGGTTGGAAATTATAATCTTATTTAAATAACCAAGATTCCACATTACTGTCTTATTTTGCTTTTCTGAACGCTTTTAATCTCTTGACCTTTTTCATTTTGATTATGGGTCTTTCTCACTAATATAAAACTAATTCAGCTTCCTTTTATGGGTCATGAGTCATTAAATGATTAAAAGAATATTCAACCTGATCGTATTAGTGACACATCTTGCTCAAGGAATATTGCACTCCAGTGTTGATGCTCGTGGTTCTGTTTTCCTGTGCAGCCCCTGGAGGGAGCTGGTTGTAAATTATATTTCAACTTTTTCACATTAGGAAAGGGTTTTTATTTAGGTATGCCCACCTTGCTTTAATATCTAAGTGATAACTATTACAGCTGCATTAGAATTAATTTCAGAAAGAGGTGCCAAACTGGCCCAATGTGGGTAGCATGGATATTACCTTATAAACCAATCTGTTTTGAATAATGATCAGGGCTTCTACTATTTTTAGCTGTTTTTGTCAAACTTGTTAGAAGCCAGTCTATGTAGATAGGTGATGTGTGATATTTTGGTCTTGTATTTGACTCTCTTTGGCAGCAGCTCACCCCAGGAAGAGTCCCTGAGAGGGAATGAATCCAAGTTAGAAGAGGCTTGTGTTCCGTGTGTTAGGTGTAGAACATGCGTCCAAGAAATTTACCTTCTTTGGTATACAAATTTTTGAAAAGATTTTGATTGGGATTAAGTTGCTTATATAGTCAGTCTTAAACCTTTATTAAAAAWAAWAATAATAATTGAATGTAAGAGATTACTGTAGTCTTACATTCCCTTTTGGATTCTTTTGTTAATAAAATACAGCCTGACACCAGGTAATCTCACTACAGTTTCAACAGATTGAAGTTACGTATTAAGAAATAAAGTTTTGAAGTGTAGTATTAGTTTTACTTAATATTGAATTCTCACTGACAGAAATTAGTCTACAGAGTAGGGAGTTGTGCATGTGGCTGTCATGTAATAAGCACGGTTATCTAGCTCATCAGGTTTCAACATAGGATATTTCAGRGCAGTGGAGCAAAAAGTCATTGCAAGGCTGAAGACTTTCTTCTCTACCTTGAATACAGAGGCACAGACAAAAATTAGTTAGGTTTGGAGACAACTAAGAAGCTGCCTTGGACTTTCTCAGAGTAACTTTGTCATGAATTGCAAGCCAAGTATTTCCAATCTGATGTAATCCAGAAGAAGCCTTTTGTTATGGAGAGGGAGAAGTTTTCTGCTAGTAGTTATGGTTTCTCATGTTTTGATAGGATCTGAGATCTAAGACTTTCAATGTACAAAATCATATCCAGAACAGAAGATTTTAATGTAGTTTTTAGATGTTTTTCACCTCCCTGTGTCCTTCTGCTTTGCCTGAAGCTGGCATGAGCTTGTGTCCTAATGGGACTGCTTGTTCATGCCATCAGGACAGAAAACTTCCTGAAGTCCAGCCCTGCTGRGGATTCCCAGACTGACAGTGACCTTTAAGACTAGGGAGAGCTGCAAAACCAGGAAAAGTTGCATATGACATTTCAGATCTTTAACTCATTTAACCAATGTCAGGTGGCAATAGGATTAGCTGTGTCTGAGAAGTTTGGGATGATTTCTAGCCCAGAGGACCATTTGCTGTGTTCTGGTTTGTGTGTGAAATGGGAGTGAAGAGAGTTCCTCAGATATAATCTGGTGTGTCTGATTTTAACAGAGAAGGTTATAAAAATCATACCAAATAGTGTTTGAAAATGATATGTAAAATACTGTGCTACATTGTAATTGAAACAAACCAAATATGTGTGGCTTTGAGAGATTGGTGAGAAGCATCAAATCACTTGTTTCTGGCTTTGTTATTTGTAAAGAAAACATATACATTCCTGTGCTTATTTAGACAATTTCTTTATGTCCCACTTCTCCAGCCTTATGTATGCTGCAGTATTACACTGCTTGCAGATTTTTTTTTATGCCAACAAACTTATTCCATGCAAAATTCTTCACATTTTGGACATTAATAGAAACWGTTTTAAATAATAGTGAAAAGTGCATATTAAGGTCAAGCACACAAATAAGCAATTTAGAGACATCCCAAGATGTTCTTTATAACTCTGTTTACTTATAGATCAAATTGCTTGGGTATCTGTCCAAGGGAAATTCAGAGAGCTCAGCTAACTTTATGAAATGACTATGAAACCCAAGTGCATCAGAAGCAGGGAGAAAAGGAGAAGCTTATCATGAAACTTGTGAATTGTAAATAGATATTTGGCACAGTTTTCAGAACAGGAGTTTTCTAAAAAGAGTTTGGCTTTATTCTCRTTGTCATTGCACAGGTTAGTGCATGGTACCTAGAATTCTTGTCTCGTTATATGTGGTGTCATAATATTTAGAGCTCAGACTTTTGTGACATTTGACATAAAAGGTAATTTTGATTTTTTTTTTTTCTCAACAGCTCTGGGAAAAGGCCCCTACAAACTGGTCAGCTATTTGGACGGAGAATTTGCAGTGGCAGTGAAACTGGTGAATGGTTTTGTTTTCCCAGTGAGAGCAGAAGATTCTGTTCCTGGACATGCAGTGAGCTTTATGCTGACTTCAGGACTTTATAAACCCAGAGCACATGGTAAAGTTACTGTAACCTAGAAGCTTAAGTAGGATAGAACATATTCTGCTCTTGGACACAAGCCTTTATCTGAGCATAGACCTGGGACAAATGAAAAAAAAAAAACCCAACAACAACAAAAAACCCCACTTTTCTATATATTTGTCAGATGGTTCTGAAGCTTGAAGGTGTCTGCCTAGACTTCCATTTGGTTGGCTYTAATTAAATGATTGTAGTTTTATAAAAGGCAGAATACTTTAGTTGAAAAGTGTCCCTCTCCCTTCCTCATGAAAACTCCCAAAGCACAGAAATGAGCATTGTAGCCRCGTGCTCCATATAAGTTTTGTCCCCTTTACATTTCCTATGGCTGAGCTAGATGGTGGAGAAGAAAGGGAGAAGAATGACACAAAAAGTGTGTTCTCTAACCCGTGCTCTTCACCACCATGGTTTAGTCTCTGCTGACCTGTGCAGGGATAGCCATGGCTCTAATCTGAGCTGCTACAAATACATCTCCTTCAAGTGCTAACCAAGATTTCCATTGAAGGAACGTGTAGCTTATTCAACAGACAAAAGTCTTATATCCCTTCAGATAGGTGGAGAAGTATTATTACAGTAATACTTCCAGCACGTTGTAACRTTGATTATGTGCATACCAAATTTTACTACCCGTAGAGCACTTGAGTTTCAGTACAGTTTTATAGCCCAGAGAGTCTCCTGCTCAGGTCTTTGGACAGYCTGTCCTTGTGTGGTTGAAATAAATGATATGAGCTAGCTGAAAAATGGTAAGGATTTGGTCCATAATATTATTGTCTTTTTACACAAGAACATGTGTAACAGAATATCCAGAGCCAGATTTCTTTTATTAGTCATAGTTTTGAGACGCTTGTACATTGCATTCGCTTCAGGTTTGGAAAGGGAAGGTTGGTTTTCCAGTTCTAGTCCCACATAGASTGTCTCTCTCAGAGTTTAATCTGGCAATGGGATTTCTGCCACACAGTCCACATTTATGATGATGACAGTTCATCATCTGGCCATAGAGGAGTTTGTAAAATCAATGCAATAGTTGTCATGTCCATGGTTTTATATCTCTTTTGTATATCTATGTAGCTGTTGTTCTGTATGTTAACCCAAGTACTACAAATTTAGTTTTATTTTACCTCAGAAAGATGAAAACTTTTTATTAGTTTCAGACAAATCTTAGAATATGGGAATCTTGGAATATGGGCGATGAAAACTTTTTATTAGTTTCAGACAAATCTTAGAATATGGGAATCTTGGAATATGGGCATTGCTGTATTAGTTGTCTTGATGGCAAGTTGTCCAAGTAAAAGTATTTATGCTGAGAAAACAGAAAAATATTAAACAAAAGTATGCTGCAATTATCTATTTAGTAGAAATCTTGTTCTGTATACTTTTTTTTTTAAGAAATGCTATCCAGGCCCTGGGGGCATAGTTGATTTTCTACAGTAGTTTGATGGCTGTTTTAAACAGAATAGCAGAGTTTGCAGCAAACTGAAAAGAGGAATTCTGTGAGCAACAGATGCCTGCAACAGGCTCAAGACCTGCCAAACTGCAATTGATCCTACAAGGGCTTGCTTGAAATCAACAGTACAGATTTAAGGGTAACATATCATGTGGGTACGTTTGCCAGAAAAGAGACCGTGCTGTTAAAGTTCTTTAGGAAAAAGCCATAGAACTGACTGCTTAGAAATGGAGACAGAAAACTGTAAACTGAATGCAAGATACTTTTTTTTTTTTTTGTAATTTAATTTTAAAGAAAGGATAATCTCTAGAAGTATAAATTCCCGATGCCAAATGTGATAAAGCTAGTTATGTGAAGGTTAATCAAACCTCATAATGAAAGTTGTAATCTGAATTTTTGCTTGCTTGCTAGGCCATATTTCCTCATTCTCTTTTAGGCAAATGTCTTAATATACTGTCAACACGGTTGAAATTAGCACGGCATTTAGAAAGTTAAATATACAGTTGTCAGTGAATCTATTAGAATGTAGCATTCTGAACTTCTTATATAGTGTATTTATTTACAAGATTAAGATTGGGCTATTTTTTAATAATGCCAGTGCCAGTTTTCATTGTTTGTGCTGCTAGTATCAGCAGTGTTGTATCAAGGAAAGCCGATCTCATTGTGAGTGTTTCAGAAAGTCAGTGAGTTCTTTGTATTTTTTCAGATTCCAACTTGGTTTCRTTCGAAACAGCGGAGAGACCAAATTATTTTCTACAGTTGGCCTCCAATAATTCTCTTGTTCTTTCCAAATGGGAAAAAAGTGAAGAGTTTCACAACAAATCTACCTTTGCCGTTCACAAAAATACATGGATTTCGGGATACAGTTCCTTTGAGTCATTTGCAAAGCCAGGATACTTCATCCACATTTCAGCCTCTTCAGTTGAGCTTCTGAAGTACCATCATACAGAGGAGTTCAGACTGTCAACCCTTTTTAAACTTGTAGGTAGGTAATTAAACAGGTATTTTATGAACAGCAGTTTGCTCTCAGTGAGAATATAAGCTACATTGTATTGATTTTTTTCAGAGCTGGGTTACTCGCCTCTCCTCCAAAATAGTTGTGAGCAGTCCGTGGTCTGTGGCAGGCAGGCTCAAAACCCTTTCCTGAACTACGTAGTGAGGATAGATTCTGTTTTCATGTTTGCAAAGCATCTAAGAGTGAGGAGAAAATCTATTCTCCTTCTTTCCCCCTGAATCACTGGATTCTCACTTCAGGCTTGGTTATTCCATTTCTGAGAGGTCGTGCCATCCAGCGTGATGGGCACTGCTTGTAGATTACCCCTCTCACACCTCTTGTTTTTCTGAAAAAGACCTTGACCTGTATCCACATGGCCGCTCACAGAGGCTCAGCCTGCTGCAGTAGCACACTTCAGTGTTTCAGGTGCTGGGTAAATGGAGATACTGACCTCTTACTGAGGATCTGTGTGTCCTTTCTCTGATGGCTCTTGGACAGTGAGGAACTGTTGTGTACACAGTGCAGACTGCCAGGAGACAGTCCCTAAGCACCTGAGAGATTCCCGTTTCCATACCAGTAGCTGTATTCCATGGAGACGTGAGAGAGAGAGAAATATAGGAGATATGAAGCCTTTTAAGGATATGGATTTAGAAATTGCTTCTAGAACAACTGGTGATGAACAACACCCATCAAAATAGTCCACTAGTTCATGGGTTTTTTTTTCTCTTTTGGATTAGTAAGGAAAAGTAACAGAATAATTGTTTTAACTTAATGATAAGTGTTTGGGAGCTATCTGCGAAAATGAAGGTGGCATATAGAGTAACAAGTTATGTTAGACTATAAAATAAAGGAGATGATTCGTTGTACTGATGCATCAGTTATGTCAAAAACATTTATACATTATTTGTGTTTCTCGGTGACACTTACTACTTAATGAATCCACGGGCCTCTGCGTGGTGTTTAAATTTCCAAAATCACTACAAGATGTTTATTATTTACTACAAAATCTGTATTATTTATAATTAGTAAGGATTTTTATTGTGCTATACTTTTAAATGCACTGCTAATTCATTTATCGGGGTAACAGAAGTAAAAGAAAGAAATTAAAATATTGTAACAAATGAAGCATCACCTGGCCATCTTTTATAGTCACTGTTATGAATCACTAGCACAGAGAAATCTGGAACAGGCACTGACTTCTATGACAGAAGAGGCCAACTGCACCTCACGGAGCTTCATGTTATCAAAACACTGAATTAAAGTGTTAATGGTGGCATTGTGAATGTGCCGATGTTTTGTGGTACGTTATGAGGACAGCCTAATGCAGCTGTTGGCTGGCACGCTCCGACTTCACAAAAATGACAGATTTTGTCATTGCCAAATGCCTGTTGCCTCTTGACAAATGCTTGTAATCCCCGAGCTGCTGAGGTTTTGAACAGCCGAAGTCAGAGCCGATGCCATTACCAGGGTGTTCGTACAGCATTTCAAGTAAAGGCCTATTTTTTTTTTTTTTGACATAAAAATATCTCTCTGGTCTTTTATCTTTGAAGGTGGAATGAAGAAGGTTAAAACGTGTTGTAATTCTCAGCGGCCATCCATTAACACAGAGTGGTCTGTCTTTTTAGTGTGAAGTCTTTGCCTTCCAGTCATTATACCCAAAAATCCTGTCTATGCCAATGGAAAACTAAAACAATTTCCCTCAGCAAGCGGGATCAGATCAAATGCTCAAGAGGCATTTCATTAATCACCACATCCGAGGGCTTGAGTTTCAGCGTTTTATAAGCAGAGAAACACAGGGCTTGAATCCTTCTCCAGTGTACTTTCACAGGGCCCAGCCTGCTGATATAGGGTAATTACATGGTCTAAAAATATGGCAGCATTTGTTTAAGTTAATGGAAAAGTTACACCAGCCCCAGAGTGCCCAGGCAAAAGCAGATCGAGTTTCCTGCTGACTATTGTAAATGCTTTGCATATCAGATCAGAAACTCTTGAACCGGGAACAGCTATTCCTGCGGAATCAGAGGATAAATATCAGGAGCAGAATAATAGCCCCAGTAAATCCCCTTGGCCAGAAAGCTCCTCATGAGGCTTCTCCGTGCTCTGTGACGCACATTCAAAAGGAAGAATTTTAAATGACCCGATCACCACAGCAATAGATACATGTTTGTTTAAAGTCAGAGGACAAGTCACTTTTTCCACCTTCAGAGCAAGAAATGCAGTCACATTGAAATACGCTGGCTATAAATTACACAGATATGATGGGCTAATACTGCAAGAATTTTCCATGAATAGTCGCTTCAGGTTTTAAATTGTTTTTCTTATGCTCAGATTAGTTTGTTCTCCTGTTGCTACAAATGTTTGTTATATTTGTTACAATTGCTTCATGATAGAAATTGAATATCTAGGGTACACATGTTCACAAGSAAATATATTTTGTGCAGGATTTCTTTCCAGCACTGCATAGGTATACATGCAGTCCAGAAAGAATATACTGAGTCACAAATAATTACAGAGATTAGATACCATGTAAGAGTGATTAATCCGTATTTGAAATTGTTGGGAAATTAGTGACAGTAGACAACTGATGATCTTTTCAAGAATTTGGTGGCAGTTTTGTATACTTCTGTTTTTAATAATGGGCTCCAGCTAGCTACTTTTTACCTTTTATAGAATCACCATAATGYGCCTTTTTTTATCATCATCACAAGTTTAGTTTGTATATACTATAAAAAATGGCAAGAGACCTGCCTTAAAACCTTTGTAAATTCTTCAGCAAAATTCTTAATAATGTTAGTTATATGCTTTAATAACTAGTTTGCTATATTGTAAGGCCCATGCTAGTGAGGAATTTTCTGCTATTTAGCAGAATATTTCTGCTAAAATAAAAATTTAATGTTTCAATTTATACATGCAGAAAATACATGCACAGTGCTCAGAGATAATTTGTCAAGGTTTGCATCTGATATAGGACTTTTCTTGTTGATTTTAATGCGTGAATCTTAATTATTTGGAACAGATTCAGGCATAAAAATATTATAAAAGTGAAAATGAAATTGATTTTTTTATGAAAGCTTTTTTTGAGAGAGGCATCTTTCATGTTTAGAGAGGTTTATTCCTGTTCTAATAGACCAATTTAACTTAATCTAGTCGTACTCATTTCCCTCGGTAGAATTCACGTGCTAAAATGTCCTATTTTGCTTCGAATGGACTCCTCTCGAGTTTCATTTGGGCTTTCCTGCTTCCCAGTCCAAGTGATCATGACATGGGGCCTGGTCCTAGATAATGCTGAGCAGCTGCTGGATACCTGCAAATCTTGGGTATGTCACTCCATGTCACTGCACACATCTGCTCGGCAGCTCTTGCAGTCACACTGAAGTTGCTCTCGCACTGAAATATCTCTCCAGCTTTTACCACAAACACAAACTTTTGACTCTTTTTATTGTGCGAATGAACAGGAGAATAATTAGTTGTGTCAGCAAAGGTACGATCATCTAACATCATCATGGGAACCCAAAGCAAAAGTGTTTGAGAGAGAGATAAATCCATTTTGCTTTTGGCAGTGTTTTGGCTGCACCTGTAATTTAGTTTTTTTCAGTGATATTTGCACCTATTTCTCATTGCAGAAACTTCAAGTCATGAGCAGAGTTTGCTGGTGGAGTGTATGTGTAAGTGGCTAGATAGGATTTCATGTTTCTAAACTTATAACTGAGAAGGGAGGTAATCTAAGTTCCTAAGCAGTGTCTTGCTGCTGCTATAAATAGAGATCATTCTAAAGTGAATTTTATGCTGCTAAAATGTTGGAAATTTCTAGGAAAAACAGCAAAAGTGTCACGTAAAAATGAAAAGTATTCCATTTTTTTCATGATTTTTTTCATGATTTTTCAGTCAATTACAGTGCTTGATTTGAATTTTGATTTTTTGAGTGAAACTTTTTTCTTTATAGTGGATAGTTCAGATAATATGATATTTTAAGTATAACTTGTAAATACAACTATTTGATAGATTCAATAGAATTGACATTTGAGGATTTTTTTTAAGCAAACAGGTTTTTTTTTTTTAATATGGCATGTAAAAAATTATCATACTATGTAGATTCTGTCAGTTATTCTGTCAGATTTTGTCCTTGAGAGGTAAAAAAATAAAAGAAAGGGCAAGAGAGGAGCTGTAAACAGTAGAAGTGTTAACAAAAAAAGCAGCTAAGCTGGTAAGAACTGTTGCTGTGGCGCAACAAACACTGCAGTGTCTTAGTAATAAAAAATAAACTCTTCATTTGACAGTAGTAACTGCTCTTATTTACCACAGGGTCAATTTTGAAAGAATGAAGAATGGAAATTGTAAGTTGTAGGGAAGAAAAGGCTTCTCTGATGCTCGAGCGGGCGGCAAAGCCGAGCGCAGGGCCCGGCAGGACCCTCGCAGGGTCTTTGTGCTTGGCCAGCTCTGATCCTGCATCTCTAGAGCCACTTTCTGTTCCTCTTAGGTTTGGGTTCAGTCTGCAGGGGCACTGGAACGCCGTCATGCAGGGCATAATTTACCATTTTGTTAAGGATTTGCCCTGTCACTGAGGAGAAGACAAACGCCGATAGATTTCAGCAGGAGACACATGGCTTTTCCCGACGGCCATGACGAATCCCGGTGAGGAACACATGCTCCGGGCAGGCAGCTCGCCTCGGGGCCGGCAAAGCGAGCGCCATTCCTGGCTTGTGAGGGAAACGGGCCGCTGTGCTGTGCTCCGCAAGCTCCTCTTACTGCTGGCTGCCAGAGGAGTTAAAGTATTAAAAAAATGGGAAGCGTGAAATGGAGAAGGCGTTTGGTGAAGTCTGCAGTTTCTGAGCTGAAGTCYTCTCTGTCGTGGAGTAAAGTACAGCGGGAACAGCAAAGCTGAGGTTTGTCTGGCATTGCAGTTAGCCTGAAACCAGTACACAGTGTGGAAGGAGTATTCCCACCAGTCTAAGGAGAGGAAGYTCCTTTAGCAGGAGCAGCATCTTGCTGCATTTTGCCTTACACTGGCTAGCACCCTTGGCCAGCTTGCTCCATGATCTGCCTGGGCCTTCTGCAAGATGCTGCCTGTAATAAGAACTTACTGTGTCTTGCACAGTTGAAATGCCATTCCCTAAGCCTGGAGCAGCAGCTTCCCTAACAGTGCACAGCCTTGGCTTCCTCAGGGGAATTCACTGGGCCATACTCAATATATTTGAGATCCTGGAAAGCAATTCTTGGAATATATTGGGCACTCCTTTCCCTCTTTCTGGAGAAGCAGAGAATGAAATTTGCAGACACGATGGCTGTTAATTCCTGTCTGAGAGTTGTTTATCAAGCACACAGCAAATGCTTGATTGTAAATTGCTTGTAAATTGTAAATGCTTGTAAATATTTACTTATTTACAAAATAAATAAGTAAATACTTGGAAACCCTGTGCACTTAGTCTGCAGCAATGCTCGAGGGAAACRTGACAATTATTTCATAGAGACCTCAGTTTATTTGAAGAGTGGGAGAAGGTATATTAACAACAGCACAGTGTTAATCCAGGATTCTTGTTCTGTTAAATTGAGAAAATAACATTCATCATCAGGTTGTGGTATCTCTCATAGAAGATTGTTGCCTTCATTGTGTATAGAACTTCTTTTATAATTAAAAGAGGTTTATGGTAAGAATTGAAGTTAAGTATCTGCCATATTTACCAGTATTCAATCTAGGGTGGTCTGAGGAATGAGATTCCCAGTTTTCATGAGGATATACTGGCATTGCTGGCCATGAATGCAGTTAGGGGCTGCCTGCATCCTCTGCTCTCTGATGTATTCTGTCCCATTTGTCCTCCTCGTTTGTCCCCAAGCCTTACAACTCTTGACAACAGACCACAGAACCCTGTATGTTGTTATCAACAAACGTATGGGGACCGTGGCCTTCCTCTGTCTGTTTAAACAGCTGACACGACTTTCCATGGAAGGAGTCACAGATGTGTTCAGTAAAGTGTGTAGAGTTGTTTATGAAAGTTTTGTAGATACATTTGCTATTCTGGAAAAAGGTATGTTTCCAGGAGCAATGAGAAGTTCAGTTCTTGGATGGAGGACTGTTGAAGGGTAACACTAGATGGCAATATACACTTTTTTACTTTAAGAAGGGCATGRGTATATTTGAGCTGGATTTATAGCTTTGATTTAGGAAAATCATTTTTATTAAGAAAGTTCGTAATGCTAGAGGAGTAACTTCCATAAATGCAGGAAAAATTCTGTAGCATTTGGAAGGGGAGAGTGTCTCTAAGACATTCTCCAAGAATTAGTTTCCTCAGTTGTACACAATCAACATGATGCTRGTTACACATTTTGTATGAATAATCAAAAAGAGAGTTCACTTGTTGATGCAGTTTTTAAAACTCAAAAAGGCAACAGCTCTAAACTTGCCTAGCACTTTATTTAAAATGATTGCAATATGCAGTAAACAAGGATAATTCGGTGGTATATTGCAAAAAGGAAAATAGGCTGCATATTCAGTTCTATTTACTATTCTGTGCACTCACACAAGCTGTTTCTCTCTGCTTTAAAGACCTTAACAGTTATAAAAATGTTTTTTATTTTCTTTGTAGAGAATATAGCTGGAAAAAGTAATGGATTTAGTGTTGCAGTGAACCTTTAAGCATGCTTTTTACTGATATGTATGTGTGYGTTTCTGCAAATGTGGGAGAATAACTATTGTGGTTGCTTTTCAGATRTCAAATTCCAATTTCTTCCCCATTCTGCATGTGAGTGGCGTTATGATGCCTGCACAAGCCCTTGCTTCAAGACGTGCAGAGACCCTTTGGCAAAGAATTGTCAGGCAGTACCAAAGTAAGTATCTGTATTTTTATGGAAAAGCTYGGATAAGGGGATAATGCTTATATACATCATAATAAGCATTTCTGGAAGCAGATACAGGCACAGTACAGCAGGCCTGTGCTTTTATATAAAGAAATAAGTGAAGGAAACTTTAAAAAAAMCTGCTGGGGCAGCTATGTGAATTTTTATTTTTACATGGCAGTTGCTGCCATCAGTGTCTGGAATTACTAGTATATTAATAACTTCCAAGCTAGAGGATATTATAGAGTATTAGCAGAGAGAGAGGATGATCAGTTTGTGTCACGTAATTTTGTCCCTGCTTTTTTATTACGACATTGCAACAACCACATCTGTCCTTGCCTTTTACTTTTCTGTACCCACTGTGCTTTGGGCTAGACTGGAAATTGTGGTAAGACTAGTAAAAGTGGCATTTGGAATAATTCTAGTGTGCAAAGGATGTTTCTAATTTCCTTATTGAATTTCTCTGGTTTCAAAAACCAGAGTATAGTGGAGTCTTTACTTTAGCTTAAATTTGTGTGAAAATGGAAATCATGGCAATGATGTTTTAAAGGAGTATGCTGAGGTGATGAGATATAGAAAAAGACTCTCTATTCACAAATACTTTACAGATAAATAGTGTTTCCTAAAATTAAGTGCTTCGTCCAGAAGACACTGTTCTGCTAGTTAAAACTAACTTTTCTTGTTTTGTTTTTAGAGTGGAAGGATGCATCCCTGCATGTCCTCCCAACATGGTGCTGGATGAAGTAACTCAAAGATGCGTTTATTTTGAAGACTGTATGTTTGAAAAACTGCATATAATATGTATAATATTTGGCTTATTATTTTCCCAGATACTGTTTTAGCCAAATTTTCCAAGTGTGGGTGATTATGCAACATTATGTAACTATAATATTGATATGTCCCTGAACATATATTTTGGTTAAAGTTATTTCAGTGTGAGACAAATTTTAAACTAAGATTTCTTTGTTCGCCAAAAAAATGAATGACATTAAATGTGAAGCAAATTATTTAATTTATTTTTGAGTTTATGCATTTTGGAAGCACCATAGAAATTCAAGAGAAAAGATCAGAGCAATAACATAAATTCCTTCCAGCTTCACTACGTTTATAATTCTAATTAATTTATTAATTACAGGCTGCCATCTTTTTCATGTGTGATTTCAGGCATTGAACCTGCAGAGGACAGTCAAGCTTTGCTCTCCAGCGTGAGAACACCAGCAGTTTCACACACAACACCAACTACTGCTGCAGTCTCCAGTTTGGCAGTGTTCAGCGAGGCAGGAACTTCATTTCCTGCACCTGAGGAGAAGGACATGGAAACAACACTTGCTTCAAAATGGCAACTTGGTGTAACGACAGGGAAAGCAAAACTTTCAGCTCTTACATCTAAAAGAGTGGTTTCCACCATGCCGTTAGCGTGGACAACAAAATCTAACGTAAGCTTGTCCTTTCCTAGTGACTTTTTTCCATGGTTTCCATCTACAGTCGCTTCGGAAGCATCTGCAAKGATGCAGTCAATCAGTAGTACTTCTGCAAAGCCCCTGAGAGCTACGGAACCTCAGAGAGTAACTGCTAGACACGTATCAGAGTCAGAAAGCAAACCCATTTCTACTACAGTTCTTGGTGGAACACCATCAACACTCACAACAGAGTTGCCTGTGAAAACTAAAATAATGGAAACACCAGAAAGTGCTACAAGGACACTGCCTGTAAAAGAAGTGGAAGTAAAACCAGAAGGATTTACCAAATTTACTGCCAGTTCTTTTGAAACAATAACAGAAAAAACTACTACAAATTTGACCCAGTACTCATCATCTCTGGGCATGTCTTCGCATTCATCACCAGTAAATCTAACAGGAACTTCAGAAAGAATGAAAATAAGTGCAAAACAGTCTTTTACCACAGCATCTCAYGTTACTGTAACTTCACTTTCTCCTGTGTTCACTACTTTGTCTTTGCTGAAGCCAAGCACAAAGCCAGCACCTTCAGAAACAACAAAAGCAACAAGTGTTGTAACCAAGCAAAGGGCAAAGACTACATTTTCCCTGACATCCACACTACCTATTTCATTAGCAAAGGCAATTACASAGCCTCCTATTGAAATGATTCAACAGTTGACTGGTACTGCAGGGGTAGCCTTGACTACATCTCTAAGTTCACAGGCATCAACTCTGCAGACTCAAGAGATAACAGCAAAAACAACCGTGTTACCGTTTACAACRCTTAAAAAGGAAATTCCTGAAACAACATCTCATAAGGAACATTCATCAGGTTCCTATTTCCCTCCATATTTGTTACATCCGAGTTCAGCTACAACCGAAAAATCCCTCCCTCTTGCTACCAAAAGACCTGTTTCTACTCCTGTATCTCCGTATTTAGGTGAACTAAAAAAAACATTTAAAACAGTGTCAACTACTGGATATCCCCCACACATAGTTCTAAACACAACAGAGTTCCTGACTACATTATCCACTAAATATCCTATTTTAGCTGAGACTACAAGGGTAACACCTTCACCTGCAGAGGTAACATCCAAAATAACACCCACTTATGAATTATTAGCAAAGTCAACTTCACTTTCTGGGAAAACATCCACAGAATACAAGTCACCTCTACTTTTAAGTACAGTGAAGACGAGCCCTGCAGCATATTCAGATACTGTTACCACATCGGCAAAAACAACCTCTGTCTCATCAAAAGAAGTCACTGCGAGTCCTTCAGTAGCTACAGAAAAAGACTCACTTCAAAGAATATCCTTCACTGGATCTCTATTTACTCTTGGTGCAATTGAAACCACACTGTTGACAACACAGCCTGATAAATCACAAGTGGAAAGAATTACTAGCATATCTACTAGAGAGTCACCTGCTTTCCCGGCATCGTCATCACACACTCTAACATCTTTAAATGCTTCCCTACCTGCACTGCCCACATACGGGACAGTAGCAGCACTGACAGCTCTCAGTCCCACACATGCATCACAGGAAATGGTTACCCCTTCATATCCAAGTACAGCTATAGCAAAGCCTAGTTTTTCAACAGAAAAGACCGTTCCCATCCCAGCTTACTCTACTGTACCAGCTATGTCACAACAATCGAGTCCAACAGGAACAATATCCCGTGACAAACTGCCGGAAAAAGYCATTCTAAATGTCACTTACGCCACGTTCTCTCCATCCTCTGAATTCAGCAGTCAGCTTAGAACAACCAGAAAAGCAGTGGCAGCCAAGGAAAGATCAACTCTGTCTACTTCTGCTGTACTTCCAATGACAAAGTCTTATACTTTCTCCAGCTCTCAGTATCTATCAGATAAACTAATTTCTTCCTCATCTTTAACACAAATGACACCTGAAGTAACAACCACAGYAAAATATCCAGTAGAAACTGAAATAATTTCTATAGCAGCAAAGCCTACAGTCCGAAATGTAACAGATGCAGTAAAACCTGCAGCAGCTACAGCTCAGCCGTCCTTTACTCCTCCTTCAGGAGGCCCCTTTTCTGGGCAGACGTCGTCAGGAGAGCCCGTTTCTGCTCAGACACCACATTCTTCTACTGAGACAGCAGTGGAACTTGCTCACCAGACTTCAGAGCCTTCCTTGACAAGCCAGAGCAGTGCCCCAGTTTCCCAGTATCCTGCAGGAACACTCACAAAATCCGCTGGTCAGCCGCAGCTTCTCTTAAGCACAACTGAAGCTACAGTAGCATTGACTCCCTCCTACCCATTAACTACCTCACTACCTCAAGGTATTCACTCAAGTTTATCACCTACCTCACTAACACAAGTTGTTTTACCAACTGGAAAGGAATTACATTTAACTGGTTCAGCCACACAGCCATATGTATCGAGAACTTCTTCAGCTTTGCAGTCTACAATCCCAACTGGGAAAACAGCTGACTTGGGTGTTGGCACCAGAGTTCTCCCTTCCTCACCAGAAGTGATTGCAGCCTCAACCTCTTTAGCAACCACCAAGAAGGAAGAATTTCCTTCATTTTCCACACAAAAGGCAGGTACCAGTCCGAAATTCACCTGGCCGGCCTCAGTCRGCGAACCACTTGTTTCAGGTCAAACACTTGAAACAACTTCAGCTTCACCAGAACTTAAGTCAACCTTTCCATCTGTTTTGTTAACACAAGCAACAGAAAGGCCAATTAGTGAGTCATCAGTAGGTGCCTTTTTAACACCTATGATCTCAACAGCATCCAGATCAGCGGGTGAAASTGCTACAGAGAAAACTACTGTGTCATCTAAGCAAGTCCCATTTTCAACCACTAGCTCTAGTTCCACGTTTCTTGCACGTACGGTGCTGCCAGCTACAGCCCATTCCTCAGCTGTAACTTCTGCCTTTTCAAAGAGAAGCAGTACAGGGCAAAGCCTTGCTGCTGTGTCGGCCACTTCAGAGGAAGCAGGAACAGTGAGGAAATCTGTCACGACTTCTGTGAAGCCCACCTCCTTTTCTGAAACTTCACGAGCAAAAGGGTCTATGCCCCCTGAAACAATAAAATCTGAAGAGCCAGAATTAGYAACAGAAGTCCAAGCTGTCCATACTGAAGGTATTACCATTACCCCAGAAACTCTGGGTTTTTTTTCCTCCATATTTCATATATGCAATTGAAATTCCTTCTAAAGTAAATGTATCAGTAATGTCCACGTTGATCCTCTCAAACAAAATCTTTTTCTTTTATAGCTGCATCACTGGGCGATGCTACTCAAGCTTTGAAGCTTGGAATATCCTCTGACGGGCAAATGCCCTCTGTGAGTTCGCTATTAATGATATCTGACCATCCAAATAACACAACAGCTCCATCCATTTCCTCATTTCCCTTTTTATCCACCAAACCACCTTATCCATTGACTACACCGTTTTCTGAGGAACTGGCAACAGCTGAAGCTATCTCAGGAGTCACAGCATCAGCTTTTATGCCAGCAAGAGAAACAGCAACTCTCCAAGTTTGTACAGTGAGTAACATTCTAAACAGTGATCTGTCTGGATTTGAATGTGGATAGGTCAGTTTGACACACTGATAAACTATGATTTGTGAGCCATATGTTTTGATGTATAGGATTTTTGGGTATCAAACAGGAACCATATTATTTTCTTAATTACATCAGAAAGTCTGGATGATTTCTACTTTGCCTAAGGAGTTTTATAGCTGCTATAACAGAGCATCCTTTGGGCCTTGTTTCTCAGACTGTGATTGTTAAAAGATTTTTTTTGGTAAAACATTGTACTTCATACTGTTCACTGACAATTTTCTCTCTGGTAGCCATTGTTGAAATATGTCTTCCCAGAGATCCCCATTATTATTCCTATGTAGGTATGATCCTGCATGCTTTTTTTATTCTTGACTTCTTTTTAATATAAATAGTCCTGAAATCAAAAATGATCTATTCTTTGCAAAAGGATTGTGGCTTTATACTACCCTCAAACTGGTCACATTTTTGAAGTCCTTCACTGGCAGCTTCCATCCGTGTCATAGGGATTCCTAAGTATTCTGTACCTGAGGAATTCAGGCCTCTCTTTTTGAGTAAATCCTCTGAAATGCTGTACTATTAGCTCGGTAAGAATGGTAACCTATGTCTTTTAAAAATGCCTTAGCCAGTCGCAGAGGATGAGTGCATCAAACACATATGCTTGGATGGACGCCTCGTTCAGGTTAACAAGTCCCAGAACTGCCCCTACAACGCGACGCGGCCCAGCTGCGGAGTTCGGGGATTTGCTGCTCAAACAAATGGTGACAAGTGCTGCCCGAAGTGGGAATGTGCATGTAAGTGTAATTACGCATTGCTTTTGATTTGCATTGAGGTAGCAATTCAGTGAATTTGTAAGGAGGCCAAGATTTGATGCTTTCCGTGCCGTGGCATAGAAATAAAAATGCATTTAGTCTATTCTTATTTTTATTTAGGTCGTTGTACAATTTTCTCTGATCTGAGCTTTGTAACCTACGATGGAAATCACTTCGCTTTATTCAAAGAAGCCTCCTACATTGTTAGTCGAACTCAAGAGGAAACTATAGCCATCCATGTCCTTGACTGCAGAACGGTAACCAACATTTATGAATTATTAGGTTAAAAAATGGTGCTTAACACTGCCAATAAAACAGATCTTAGAAATGAGTTATAAGCATATGCCTCTGATTCATATCCTCCCAAATAAACAGAGCATGGAATTACTATGTAATAGTGATGAATTGTTTGCAATTTTATGCAATAGATATGAATCACACTTGCCAGGCACTTTGTCATCTGGCTAAATAGGCATGATTCCTTCTGAAAGAGACGGAAGATGGGAGGTAAATTAGTGTTGTCTCATTATATAGATAAAATAGACAAGATATTAAGAGATTCAGGGGTCATATGTGTATTAGCCGCTTCTGCAAATGGCATCATGTACTGCCATAAAGCATATGCCAATCTTTTTTTATCTTTCTAAAGGATAGACAATTTGATTTTACAGCAACAAAGAAAAGATATGCAGAATTCGACAGAATTCTTAGAAGAGCCATTACCACTTTGCATTTCATTGGGGAATATCTTGCAGAGTGAGAAGCGACACCTGAGCTCCTTCTTGAGTTTCATTCCATCCTAGATTTGTTTTTCAAATGGAGGAGGAATGTAGGCTAGCTCAGCACAACAGTGTATTTCAGTGCATAGTTTTATATATTTTCATATGGAGACATTTGGATTGGAAGTGCAAAACTTCAGAGACATGAAAAGACATAACAGAATCAGACTAAATTAGTCTACCTTATCAATTGCAAATCTCTCACACGGGCACAGGTATGATATTTCAGAGAGGGAAGAGAGAAACCCTAAAGGAAACCCTTATGGAATATCCTGCCTTATAGGTAGTGTAGCAATTATAATTACCTCATGAAGAGTAAGTACTCATGAGCCTTTACAGAGCTCTTTTTTACATCAGTCCTTATTATGAAAGCTGAGTATCTTGAAATACATATGAATGTTCATTGGAAAGTTTTAACTTCAGTAGCACTTTGTGGAGTTTGGTTCCAGAAGCTCAGTGCAATAGCTGTGAAAAAGGACATCTGCTTGTGATTTTCACATTGTTTCTTTTTTTTATTGTTGCATTAAATGCTTTTGAATCAATTTGAAATCTATCTGTTGCAAATTCAAGGCGAGGTGATGCAGCCATGTCCATAAACACTGAAAGATGATGGTATCTTCTTTGTATAATTTGGGAGGAAGGCTGTGCAGATGAACATTGTAGTCCAGATTTGCCATCACAGCTGAGAGACAGGAGCATGGATATAGAAAGAATATTTTTTAATATAAACAACAGTAGCAACAATTTTCTTCTTAAAAATTACAGAAAGAAAAATCCTCTATGACTCATTACCTAAAAATAGTCAACAGCTGATGTATAAATATTTTAACATTGTTTTTATATCTTTATTTTCTCCACAGAGTAAATCAGATTCAACTTCCTTGTGCCTGGCAACGTTGCACTTAACCTATATGTCAAACCAAATTACTATTGATCGTTTCAGTAGAAAAGTAGGTATTTGGGGGGTCCATTTTCCTTTGCTTTTTAGATAGCCTCTTAATTCTTCTGTAATCCTAAGATACCACCTTGTTTGGATAATGCAAATTAGATTAGTAATATAGTTTGTTACAATACTAATATAGTTCATTGTTGACAGGTCAGGGTACTGACATTTAACAAGCTGATTATGTATTTAAAGAGTCACATATATGTGAAAAGGCACGAGCTCAGTTGCAGGGGAGGGCACATTAACTCCTTGCTAGTCTGTTTAGTGCCTTTCTGCAGTGCCTATGTAGATTTGGACCTGACTTCTGTTGAAACTGAGTTAGATTCCTAGGCTGTCGAGAATCAAGCCTTGTTTCTTCTAGCTATGGTATTTTATTTCTGACATATAAACTCTTTTCTTTTTTATCTGTGTATGTTTTAGATCACAGTAAATTCAAGAATTGCTTGGCCTACTATTAGAAAATATGGATATAAAATCAGGGATTCGGGCTTCAAGTATGCAATTGAGACCCCAACAAATACCAGAATTCAGTGGTTTCACAACACAGGTGTGATGATTATAGAGTTTAATAGTACCAGAGAACCAAAAGCTTTGGGACTATGTGGTAAGTATAGAGTAGTGCAAGAAATAAAGATATCCAGATGCTTTGCTAGAGGGTAGTTTAAGGCACATTTTTCTAGTTTCTGTACGCTGTTTTTCTGCAGGATCTTGCCAGAAGAGTTCTTGCAGGTGATTGCAAAGGTTAAGATGCTGTCAATGTGGAATTGTTATTAATTTTGTTAATTGTTGAAATAGTTATTGATGCTAACCCAGATAATCACTTGTTTTGTACAGTTCTGCTTCTGACTGTAGCCTGTTTGTATCACAGGCATGAGCGGTGTCACCATGCCCAAATAAATAAACCAGACATAAATCCATAGTGACAAATAAGTTCATTTATAGATTTAGTGTTGGTATCCAGCTGATAGGAAATGATATGTGCTATTTTCAGTTTCTAAAGGTCAGAATTCACAGGAGCAGTAATTCTTCATAGAACCAATGTGAGTTGATCTTTTGGAAGAAGGAATAGTTCAGAGGGGAATTTATTTAAAGTGATGGGATAAATAACCATTATGTTGAGTTCAGTGTTAGGTCCATACAATAGTTCTACATAGTTTCTTTCTCTCTGAAAGTCATAACCTTGGGCAAAGTGTTGGTGCTGTAGCTTTTGCAAGCATAGATGTGTTGAAGTAAGTCCCTACTCGGATACCTGGATCTGTAAATTTATCTGTTGTAAATTGGAGATGGAAAGCAGGGTTATAGAGTTCATAATTACAGTGGATATCCTGCCAGTTTCAGAAAGGGCAAATATCTATAGCTCAGTATCAAATACCAGCGATAGCTCAGTCAAGTTCCAAGTCCTGCCATCAGTTTCTACATGTTTCTAGGAAAGGAGGAGAGATTATATTTACTGCCACATTGAAATTGGGTTGTTATCTGTAATTTGCCCTAAGCTTCTGTCTCATGACCATTTTTATTCTGTAGAGCTAATTGTTGTTGTACATAGATCAAAGAGAAACAAGACAATAAAAGTAATATTTTTCACTAGGTTTGATCCAGTTTATCCTGAAAGTCTCTTCTGTTTTTACTAGTCTGATTGCTGTGATAGGGAAAATAGGGAACATTATATTCCTGGTTCACATGGTGACTTAGGAAGTTGACAACACGTTTGTGTCATCGTTTGCAACCACTGTTCCATCTCCACCTTCTGCAAAAAAATGCACTGTATTTTTTGGTATTCATCCTTGGTTGGATGAGTCCACCAAAAAAAAATCCGCCTTCATGGTGCTGTCTAGTGGGATTTGCCAGAGCCAACTCTAAGCAAGCCAGCTTTTCTGGATAGCTCAGATCTCCTGTACTTTCTTTGTTAGTCTGTGTGTTATTTGAACTATCTCAGATGACTTCGTGCCCTCCTGTGGTATCAATATGTCCTGGTTTCCAATCTCCATGCACAGGAGGAGCTGAAGACAGCACCACTGTTATGTAGCAGCAAGTATTGCTTGAAAGGATCATTGCTCAGAAAGAGCCATGTCTTTCACACTGGCAAACAAGTGGCAGCTGAAGAAGTAAAGTGGGATGGAAGCGCTGTGGGATCATGGACCTCTCTTTAAAATCACTGGTTGGAGTGAAGATGTGCAGGGCCATGCAGAACCATCACCCAGTTCCTATTTGGCCTGCACAGACTCATAATTTTCAACCAGAAATGTTTAGTCTTAGTTAATATTTACAGCTTCAAAAGATGTTTTATGCTCTGAATGCTGACTGCTGTATCATTTTGTCAGTGATTTGCTCTGAAGAGGACTGCTGGCTCTTAAAAGAGGAGTTTGATGTAATACTCAGTGTTTCTTTCTCGACTAAAATAGCTCTACTTGTGCAACAGTATTTCCTATGTTCTGAAGAGTTTCAGAATTTAAGCAGAAAGGAAATCTGATGCTGGCTTCTTAGAAACAAGTCCAGAAGAGATTGATTCCCTCAAACTGTGTGTGGGGGGGGCATAATATCAATGCACCTGGGAGTGCCAAAAGCTGCCTTTTTTTATGGTAGCTATTAAGCCAATAGGTGCTCAGCTCAGCCCAGAAGCATAAGTAGAAAAGAGTTCAATATCAGATAAGCATCTTGGCATTTTGCACCAGTTCCCTTTCCCACTAACATTTACAGTTTTCATTCATTGTTATACGTGAAGGTCCTTCATAACCTTTCTAAAAATACATATTTATTCGGTACTTATGAAACTGAAGAGTGAAGTTTCTGTACCTTAGGCAGGCTCTCTTTCACTTTTCCTGGTCAGCTCTTTGACATACAAGTCTCTTTTCACCCCTCTGCAATTCACAAGATGGAATTCTGCCTCCTAAACTATGTACTTTTTGCCTCGTCCTTTGCATGTTTACTTCTGCTTCACTTGCTTGTGGATAAATTTTGTGTATTTTTATCCTACTAGAAACTTTCCACATCTGTTGTGGATTGCAGCATTAGCATGCTCTGTAAGTTGCCAGGTGCTGGACTTGCTTGCTTGCTTGAGTATATCACTAACAGAAATACTAACATATATTGCACAGGGTTAACCTGTTTGTGTGGTTTTTTTTTCTTCTGGTATTACATAGGTTTCTGTGATGGAAGCTTGGAAAATGACCTGATGCTACCCAACAGCACAGTTTTAAGCAAAAGTAAAGCACCATCAACTTTTATGGACAGCTGGCAAGTGCCAGATACATTAAAGTATGTTGGGGAAGACAGGCATCAGGAAACTAATTGCTCAGTCATGGACTGCTCAGAGTGCTTAAGCCTCGTATTGAACCAGACCTTCAGCAGCTGTCATCCTTACGTATGTTAACTATTTTAGAAACTCATATTTTGGAAGAGATACAGCTTGATATAATTTTGTATATTTGATACTTGCATTAACATGTAGCTACGTATAACCACATCTCAAGAGTGACGCATATACTTTTATTTTTGTAGTTTCAGGCTAAACAGTAGTTGAAGAGTGCAGCAGCTTGAGATGACAGTGACAATATGCAGCTAACACTTTCAAAAATTAATAGCATAGCTTTGTGTTAGCTTTGACAATACTGTTTAATTGGTAAAGTAGTTCCAGATAATTCAGTTGAGTCAATATGATGTCCAAAAAAAGTAAAATAGTGTAATTTTAGATTTTAATTCATGTTGGAAGATTTTTAAGTGTTCAGTAAGTTATCACTATCCCAATGGCAATAGATTGCCAGTAAAGAATAAACTCTCTTCATATCCTAATAAAGGCTGATAACCTCTTGCTCACTGAAAACCAAGTACTTTTGATTTCCTTATTTCTAGAAATACAACTATATGACAAGGTTAATTTATTCCCAACATGACAGGGTTTATAATAAAATGCAATATATATATTTTTTTTCTTTACTTTGTTAGGTTCCACCTGAGTTGTTCTGTGATATATGGGCTAAAGACATTGAGTACATTCGAAATCCATGCATCGCTCTAGCTGCCTATGTGGCAATGTGCAACAAATTCAATATTTGTATAGAATGGAGAAGCTCTGATTACTGCCGTGAGTATTCTGCATGTGCATGTAACTTTAACGTTCACAGAGACAAAGCTTGCTTTGCTGTTAAGGTGAGAATATCAGTGCTTAAGGAATCCTCAAATCCCTTGAAAGTGATTATTGAGACAATAAATTCACCAGTTTGTATCATGCAATTCAAAGCATATGCATAAAATCAGCCTCTCAGTAGCCATTGCACAAATAGCAAGATAAAGCAACTTACTCTACATCTGGCTTGTAATGCCCTGTATTGTGCAGGTCAGATCATCTCATTGCAAGATGGTGGTTATTTCTTTTAGCCACTTTCCCCTGACAAAGCCAGAGCACAGCAGAGTTGGTTGTGGGGAGGAGAAAGCCACGGAAGGAAAATTCTGTGATACTTTAGATTGGCTCCATCTGCAAGGTGGTGCTCCAGAAACCTGTACCTTCATGTGGAGGAAGGATGACACAAATGAGACCCCTTGAGATTAGACAGAAGTAAGGAGTAAAACCTGAGAGCTAAAGGATCCTGGCTGAACACATCTGCCTTACACTAAAGTGTAAGGCCAAATGGGGCCTCTAGTTGTCAGCAAAGCAAATAGAAAATATTGATCACTGCATCTCCTGATGCTGTGAGAGATGTCCTTGTAAAAGTGATCTCCTTAGATTTGGTCATATAAAAGTCTGTAGTTTAATTGCTTGAGAAGTGAATGACCTCTTGATGAGATATGAGCCCCCCAAGTAGGAAAGCTCCCTATACCTAGAAATTTTGTGTTCTTGGTTAGAGAACATGAGTGCAGGCTTCGTGCAGGCATGTGCTACTGTGCTGCCAAATAAAAACCAACAGTTATGGAATTTAACATTCAAAACCAGTTAGCCCTTTTTATATTTTTTATTTATATATGTATTTTACTAACCACTGTTGAAAAAGACAGTTCACAAAGCATATCTGTAAATACAGTTACATATTTAATCCATCCTAAAAGGATGTACAACTCATTTTTATACCACAGTGACCTCTGGCGGTGCCTGCCAAAAAAGCAAAACCATGAAGTCACTTCTGTGTCTTCTGGTTCCTAAGCCTTGGCATTCATGGATGGTGACTTTAAAAGTGCAAGCTCCTTATAGGATTATAATAGCTGTTTCTTATGGGGTAGTATGATGGTTCTTTGAAATAAGGAGCTGAATAATGTCAGCTTTCTCTCCCAATTAATCTTTAAAATCTAAACTTGAAATTTCTCATTCATCCCGTTCTTCATTGTTGTAGGTAAGGCAATACTGAATTTGCCGCTATATACATCATTTAGTACTTTACAGTACTCTTCTGCAATTACTAAATTTTCTTTATCCACAGCAAAATATTCCAAATGTTTCAAAACACTGTTAATCATTTAAAACATTGTTGATCAGTATAGTATTTGTAGATGTTTTTCAGAGTTGAATTAAGTTGTGAACCCAGCTGCAGAGTTTGATTTCTCTCCTGCCAAAAAGCAGATTGAAGCCTGGTGAAAATGTTTCTATGAGAGGAAGAGCAGAGGAAGTGCTTGTGAAATTTCTCCTGTGCAATTCCTTGTCAATCTTTTCCTGTAGAAAGTATCTGATCTGTGTGCTTTAAGTGTGTAGATGATTAAATTGGCAAGTACAGAAAGGTTTATGCCTTTATTTGTGTGGTGCTCCTTCATCTGATTCCAGCTGCAGAACGGGTGGTTTGTTTATTTGTTTCCCAGCCTTTCTCTGCCCAGAGAACTTCTCCTATCAGGCCTGCATAGCTGCCTGTGCAGTCCCAGAGAGCTGTCAGGACAGCGAGGTGGCTTCCCTGGACCCAGACTCTTGCTCCGTGTTGACAGAAGGCTGTGTCTGTGCTGGAGGCACCGTCCTTCACCGAGCTCACACCGCTCTATGTATTCCTGAAGAAAAATGTGGTATGCTTTGATATGTTCCTCCTCTTCACTGTCTTCAAGTGAATGGTCAGATGCTTAATTACTATTAAGTCCTCTCCTGGGTTGGTGCAGTGTGGGTTCTGTGTCTGTCATTCAACTGAAGACTCTGCAGGCCAAGTAAACGTTAACAGTACAAGYGAGCAAGCAAGGAATGTCTTTGTGACATTCTGTTTTGCTAGCTTTTGTCAGCTGGAAGATGAACTTGAAAATGTTTTGGTAGCAATCACTTACACATTTTGAACAATTATGTTTGAATGTTCTTTGTTCTTGTTGCTGGCATTACAGTTTTACCTGGGCGCACCCAAYTGTGTACCAGTACTCAACAATAATGACACGTAAGATCCATTTATTATAAATCAGATGACATAAATCACCATAAATTAATAACGGTTTTGCTATGTGTGAAATGAGAAAGCAGCTTCTTTCCCAAGCATTGTTTCAGGAACAAAGGACCAGACTGAGATTTTAAGATACTGGTCTTGCAATGGGCATGTGAAATGAAAAGGAGGATCATGATCCTAAGGAGGGTATGGGTTATCTGAGGATTTTTGGGGGTAGGTAATGATTTTAAAAACTGAGACTTTGATATCTATAATTCCCCACCTGGTATGGAAGAAAAAGATGGTGAAAGTCTGTTCAATTTCCATYTTCTATTGCCCTAACCTAGCTTGTACAGATAGCTCAGGAGCACCTCACGCGGTAGGTGAGATCTGGAAAGCTTCCTTGAGCGGATGCTGCCTGCAGAAATGTGTTGCCAGCGAGACCATTATTCCAGTGGAGAACAACTGCTCGGATACCCCCTCTTTGGGCTGTCASCGATTTGCAGAAGTGGCCGTGCCCGTTCCTGGTGATGAGACATGCTGTCCTCAGAAGGTCTGCGGTAAGCACCCTTTAATAAATATGAACAGCGCCCACGGGAATGTGCAGATACCCTTTCCCTGTTGTTTGCCTTCCTGCTATGCATTTGCACATCTATTTGTGGAGTACATSGAAATGATCTGGTTTTGAATATATAGATTACACAGAAAACTCTAGAAGTGGTTTGGCTGAATATCTAGGGGACTTTTGGGAAGGGGGTAAAGAGAAGCATCCAGAGTTAAAAAGATTGAAATCAGTCTGATTGCTGGGATATAGATTTGTTTCTCAGCTGTACATGCTAGTGATTTGTTTTTAAAATTTAAATACAAGTCAGGGATGTAACTAACTACTAGAGAAAGATTGCATGACTTTATCTAAGTAAGTGAGCAGTAAGGAAAAGGATATAAAAGCTTCCTATGTCCGTACTTAGGTGGAAAGGGGGAGGGGAAGGGAAGGGAAGGGAAGGGAAGGGAAGGGAAGGGAAGGGAAGGGAAGGGAAGGGAAGGGAAGGAAAAAAATCATATCTTCAAAAAAGAAGGGTGCAAGCAGTAGTCATGTTTTGACCACTTGGAATCACATTATTCCAGTGAACTTTCCACAGGAAATATACTTTTAAAGGGAATTTTCTTAAGGGTTTCAGATTATCTTTTGATAAACTCTCTGAATATTCTGATGAGTTCTGGACCCTTCTGAACATAGTCTCAGGATTTTCTGACAGTTTGGGGGTTTTTTTTTGTGTATATATTGTTACCTGGAGATTTGGGGTATCAAACTACAAATACTACTAGACACTTTTGTCCTTGACTTGGAAATGACATAGTTTAGAAGTTCTTTATTTCTCTCTCTCTCTCTCTCTTTTTTTTCCTTTCCCTTTTTGTAATAGTTTGCAATCGGAGCCTTTGTGAACCCCTAATCCCTGAGTGTAAAGGCTTGGAAAAGCTGGTCGCCTACTACAGTGAAGATTCCTGTTGTCCCAACTACATTTGTGGTAGGTTCCATATAAAAAGGTAGAAAGCTTCAGAAAGATCCGCTGTGTAAAAGATGTTCAGGGAAATTAAATAGCTCAGCTTCAGAGCAGAAAGATAGCAGGGTAAACCTCATTGTTAATGTGACCATTTACAGAATTGTATTTGAACAATTCTCTGAATTCTTGAATTGAGAGATTGAAATTGAACAATTCAATCTGAAAACTCAGGGTTGGATTGCACCTCATTTTGTGTAGATTCAGTAGTAAGGGAGTCCTGTGCTCCAAGATCAGGCAGGAATGCATCTCTTGTGATGCTCTCTTGTGATACAGAGCTTTTATAAGATGCCTTGCAGCATTTCTCGTCTTTGCACAGCCATTACTTAGGAATTTAGCATAAGGAAGGARGAATGTTTTACTTTGTCTAAAGAGTAATGTAGGAAATAAATGTCTTGTGCTTATTTCAGAATGTGATCCAGCAAAATGTGAACCAGTGGAGCAGATGCCAACCTGTGAAGAGGATCAAACGCTAATTACTGCGCGCGTGGAGAATACCTGCTGCATATCCTATATTTGTGGTATGGTGCCCTGGCTAGTTGAGACTATTGGGGTTTACATATATGCAATAAGGTGTGCACTTGTAGCTTACCAATTAAGGCTTCTTGTATCCAGCTCTCCCAGCTTAATTTTATTCAGTTCTTTTGAGCTTTGRCCCTTAGTGAGTTAATTCAGTAATAAAATTCTGCTCTTGACATGAACAGAGGGGTTCCTTTTTTTACCTCATGGTTATTTTCTGCACACTAACCAATTTATAATAATATGTCCTATATATATCCCTTGAATGGACTCTGGTTTTGCACAGTGATATCAGTGAATCACAGATTTCATGATTTGCTCTTGAATTGCTCTTTCATGTGCAAAATATTTGTACCTTAAATGAAAACTTGAAATACACTGCTGGTTTTAAYAGTATTGTGAGGGTCAGTCTGGTAGTATGAAAACCATGTGCTGCATTTAGCTCTTCTCTTTATGAGCATGATATTCTTCTGTCCCTTTTTAGATATCAGATGTCTTTGCACTGAAAATACTAGCATGTCCTTGTGGTTCCTTTGCTATGTGTTCAAGTGGGAAGATAGCACTGGAATCAAAGGACATGCCCCTTAGTGGATCAAAGATACTCAAGTCCAGTCTGAAGCAGCATGCATGAAAAAAGCAGAATGAGAGAAAAATTCCAAAATGTGTCATAACAAAAGAAATGGAGAATGTTTGTTCCTTTTTTGACTCATGGTTTAATATCCTCATTCTTTATAGCAGGGTAGGGGACAAAGAAAAGGCAAGCAAGACTGAAAATTAACCTTTCTGTGGGCACTGCATAGCACTGCTCTCTTTCACGTGCCCATGGACATCCTATGGGCGTGCGTTTCTTATGCAGTGGTAAAACCTCTTCCTGTGTTTTAGACTGAAATAATTGTTTTCTTCAGCGTGCGGGGCTTGCTCTGATAAAATTCCCAAGTGTGAAGAAGGGGAAGTGCTTATTGTGGATGGCAACACCACAGAGAGATGCTGCCCTACATACCAGTGTGGTAAGTTTCACTTGATCATGGTATTTTAAGTAACAGAGAATGCATAAAACTTTGTAGTATAGATGTTCAGTGTGAGTAAACAGTGGATTAGAGACAAATTTATAATTGTGCATATAAGCAAGGTCTCACCTGCAGTGCAAAACGCATGCTCTTTAATTTTAACACTTCATGTGCCTGAAACATTATGCGAATATCTGCATCATAGATACAAATGAATAATTTCAGGTCCCAAATTCTGGAAATTGTTGCTTAAGAGTGTATTGTACTGTACTGTACACGTCTATTAGCTACTGGCTAGTAGTTAAATTTTAGTTAAATTTAGTTAAATAATTAAATTTTGATCCATTTCAAGTAAGGTATTCTATAAAGGTATTTATTATGAAAAAGTCAGTTATTCGAGCTTGATTTGGGTTTCTGTGCCTCAGAATAATTAAAAACCTGTGCTGACTGAAGCTTCTTTCTTTAATTTTAGTTTGTGAAATACATCGTTGTCCTGCATTCAAGTGCATGCTGGGCACAGCATTGGTGGAGCTCTGGAGCCCGGAGAAGTGCTGCCCATTTCGGACGTGTGGTAAAATGACTCATTTTCATTTTAGTTGCTTTACACAATAAAACACTGCCAAGAACTTTGACCCTTTGAGTTTAAATGAGAAAAATTACTAAAGACACAGACCTAAAGCTGTGCAAATGGTGATGTGCCATGTGTATGAAACAAGCTTGGGCTCCTCTACCATGACGATCTGCTCATGAACAGATGATGGAATAAGAAGGGATCTCATGATGCTCATTGTGTTAATCTGCCTCTTTTGGTTTTCTTCCTTCTCAAGGGAGGGCTGCTGCAGAATTAGCCTGTTCAAAGTGGGAGTCCTCTCATAATTAAAAATTAAGAATTAGTAAACTATTCATGACTTCAAACAAAACAAATAATGGTTTACAGGTCAGGAATTTGCCAGCTTACTAAGATAGTAGTATATCATACAGCTCTCCGTGATGCCTTGAGCACAATTTTCCATTGCTTTTTATTAACTATAAGGATTGTCATGACCACAAAGGGACTAAGCGCTACAGTAATCACATWTTTCCTACATCTTCAGGTAGAGTCCAGGTGATGAAATGCTGTGAATTGTTCAGATAGGTAAAGGAGAGGGTGGTCATGCAAACTGGTATTAAATCAGGATGGAGTTGAAGCTAAGCACAGTTCTGGATTCCTCAGAGGGGAATATTTCAAAAGCCAGGAGGGCTTCTTCAGTGATAAATTGTAAATCTAGTTTCTCATTTCTCTCATGCTCTGTTTTAAGCAAATGGCAGAATGACTTCCTAACCTATTATTTCTGTTGCTGTGTTTTGTTTCAGAATGTGCATGTGAAACCATCCCCAAACCCCAGTGCAAACTGGTAGGGGACTCATCTTACTTGTCACTGTTCTGTTATTATTTTATTAATAATACTGTTCATCAGTGTGATAAACTAGTAATTTTACAGTGAAATACAGAATGTGATGTGATTCTCTTTATTTTTAAAGTACTTAGAATAAGTAATATCAGCTTTTAAAAAAAAACATACAAGTTTAAATATCTTGCAGAAAAAAATGACTATATCGTATTGAAATTTAATTTATTTTTTAGGACCACATACTCTTCTGCAGTATATATAGAGTGGAATTTCTTTCACACAACTGTGGATAGAATTTTGTTCCTAAAATGTTAGAACTAAAGGCTTAAAGTATCAGGATTTTATTAATGTTACTTGCTATAGTGAATATGTGAACCTATATTATGCGCTCATATCATAGATTTAGCAGCTTAAATTTTTTATTTCACTGTGACCTGTTATTAGCTTTCCTAGGTTCAGTTCTCAGTCAGTACTGTGTATGATGTAAAATTATTTTTGGTTATTGTATTCTCAAAATATCTTATGAAGGAAGGAATAGGAAATAATAACAGTGCTCAGTTTGTATAGAGGATTTTGAATCAGTACAGTTCAAAGTGCTTTGCAAGCAAAGTTAGTATCTCATTTTATACATGAAAAAAGGGAAACAAGTAATAGGATTTGTATACATATGCAAACCAATAAAAAAAGCAAAATTAAAAATGTGCACTTTTTCCATGCTACTGTGATACTGTTTACATTAAGTTGTTGTAAGAATATGGTCCAATCTGTTTGGAGAATTCTTTGCTCAGGCAAGCCATTGCATTTCACTGTTGACCAGCCATAGCCTTTTCTTTCCTAAATAGCTCCTGCACTGACACCAATATTCCATTTTTGTGGTGTAACAAAACTCCTATCTGGTCACCATTGCTAAATTGTGTAGCACTGTGAGTTATCAAAGTGTATTTTAAAATAGGTTTGTAATGGCAACAGGTAAAGCTACTACAGTCCTGAAGGAAAGATGTTAAAAAATGCAGCTAAGCAATCCCTGTCACTTCACTTCTCTTTCTTTTTTCTGCTTTTATACACTTAGGGGCAGAAACTTCAGATAGATGAACAGTTTCAGAACAGTGCAGAAAATATCTGTAACTGTGTTAAGTACAAATGTGGTAAGTAGGAAAAGAATTCAAAGAAATGTCCTTTCAAGTGCTGAGGTAGAATAGAAAATATAAATCAGATGTTTGTGATTCAAACATGCTACTGAGAAGGAAAAAATCAACTGACATAATTTGCAAATCCCCATCCTTGTATTTTGTTAATTGCTGCAGCAGGAGGTCTGTGCAGGCAAATAGCAGGTAGAATTTGAATAAAATTGGAATGTTTTAACGGAACAGCCTGCATATTGCTGAGCTGGAGTGAGAAATCCAATAAGAAATAAAACACTCAATGTCCAGATCAAAAATGTTTGCACAAACCCATTATCTGCATTGTCATTTTCATGGTCCTACCAATAGAACATTATAATTTACTTATTAAGATTTCACGTGTAATTATATTTGCTATAACTTTGGGTTTGTTGTGATGCTTTAGAATTAAAACTGTTATTGGTAACAGTTCATGTTTGAAAATCTGACCTAGAATTCTTGAAGAGGTACAGTAGCTTTTTCCACTCCCATTTATCATTTTGAAACTTTTTTTTCTATTAAATTCAGTTATGAAATTAAGCAAATTTTCCTTTTTTTTYCCTGCTTTTGTGTTTTCTTGTAGTGAGAGACAAAGTTTGCCTGAGTAATGAGAGAGGTGTGCTGCTTCCTGGACAGAAAATTGTGGAACATGCTCCTGATGGCATTTGCCATATTTCTTACTGTACCAATGTGGTTGATGCCTCCACTAAATATTACCAGATAAATACCTCCTCAATAGACTGTGCTGCCAAGTGCAAAGCAGTAAGAAGTTCAGAATTTTAGTCTGATGGTCTCAATAACATTTCAACTTATCTTTTCTGTGTTTAGGGAGTAGATTACAGTTGTGGAAAGAGAGGAGTGTACTCTTGAGGAAATCACATAGGTCTCACAGCTCTTCTAATCAAAGCTTATGAAAATCTCTCTCCTTTAAGTGCTTTTTCCGAAACGTAATCAATCTATTTATAACATTTTTTGCTCCTGTGTAATGACTATCCTAGGCTGAGTGGTTGATGTACTCCCCACGTAAGTTACCTGTTCCCCCTCTGGAAGGGAAGTAGACTGGATCTAAGTTTCTCACAGTTGAAAGTAGGAAAGATTTTTGCATTAACCTCACATAAAGATAGGTTGAAGGTCTGGACAGATTCATACTCACTGAGAGCAAAGAAGGATGCAAGAGTAGAAGGAGAAGATACCAGCTCTGGTTTTTAAAGCAGCCAATGCTGGGTTCCATACAGAGTCCGGTATTAATCCCTAAAGAACAAGCAGCATGGTGCCACTTCCCATCCCTCTCTAGCTTTATTTGCTGTATGGGTAAATTGGTACAAATTCTTAGAAGACGTTAGGCCAGAAAAATGAGGAGAAGAAAGATATTTATAAACGTGCAAATGACTTTATTAAATCAGCAGATGAAATCTTGTCTTTTACAGAGTGTGATATATTACCAGGGAAAAAGTTCCTGCTGGATTAGTTAKGGATTAAGTTTTCTAATTATGTATTTAGTGTCTAATGTGTGAAAAGCCAAAATTGCAGAGGGTGTCGAGTAAACTGTACATTCTGAACATAGCAAGAAGACCAATTCACTTTCTCAGAGCTGGAACTTCTTCTCATTTACTAAAAGGAAAATTGTATGTATTGTATAAATCTTCATGAATATTCATGAAAACATAATCTCTGCAGTTTTGACAGTTATTTAAAAACTATCCCTAAAAAACTTACCTGCAAAACTCCAGCCCATTACAGTAGTTAAGTGTGAAGGTGTAAAATGGTGTCATATGAGGTACTAACCGATTTGATTTTGCCAGAACCAAGTCTATGAGCCTCCAAAAGATTTAACAACTTGTTGTGGTAGCTGTAAGAATTTGTCTTGCCTCCACACTTTCAGCAACGGCACAGTTTCCAATTTTAAGGTAAGCTTATAAATCTTTTATTCCTTCAAAAATATCCAGAAGCAAACAAAACCTCAATAAGATGATCTGCACACACTGGCATAGAAGAAGTGAGAACTGCTTTGTTTGACCAAGTAGTAATAGCAGTTTTGCATCTACACATTATTTTCTCAAGAGAGTTGATCATGTCAATGTCCACAAAGCTTCAATTAGTTTAATATATCCAAGAATTGTAGTCAAGCTGGCTGTTTTAGAACTTTCTTACATTTCTGTTTGTTGAGCTGGACTTAAAAAGGTGCATCTAGGTGCTTATTCTGAATACTACCATTGTTTGAGATGAAATTGTGTTAATCAGAATTGTATAATGAATGTTTTTGCTCAGCTGTTAGTAATGATTTTGTTTTACAATTTTTCAACAGCCTGGTAGCATTTGGATTTCAAACTGCATCAGATATGAATGCAGTAACACCGCAGTAGGACCAGTTTTAGTGGCATCTCCAGTGGGCTGCCCACCCTTTAATGAATCTGAATGTGTGAAGGTCAGTGCTGGTTGTGTTGTTTATACTGCAGCCAGGACTTAGGTTTGCATGGAAAGCTTAACCTTAACAAGACYTTGTTATCTCAGGAAGGTAGAAATTACGAATTGTTGCTGTGTCTGCATTTTTGTCCTCATCTTTGAAAGAGAAAAGCTGAGTGTATGTATGTGTAATGTGGAACAACACTCCCCAGTTACACATCTGGAGAGGCCTCTTGCTTCTCTCAGAAGATACTTTTCTCTTTTCATGGAGGCTTCTAGTGTCAAATTTGTCCTCATGCAGCTATCCAAACTTGCAGGCTTTTCTGTGTATAGCAATTCAATTAATCATGGTGGTCAAAAAAGACTAAAGACAGAAAAAAGATTGAATATCAGGAGAATATTTCCTACAAGAAGTCATAATGCTGTGGACTAGTTTTGCAGGAAAAGTGATGCCCCCACTGGCTTCAGTGTGTAAAACTAAGCTAGACTAGGTATCAGTGAATGTGTGGAAGGAGCAATAGCATATTATCCTCTCTGCACCTGTGTGTGAGCGGAAGGACGTTTTCTTCAATGAATAGTGGTAACTAAGCAGGGAACCCCAATTACACAACTGGTGATGTTTACAGGCATTCAGTGGCAACCACTTAATACTCACTTTTTTTTCCCTCTTGGCCAGATTGGAGGCTATGTCGTACCATATCTAGAAGGATGCTGTAAAACATGTAAGTAATTAATGATATTTTATGACTTGAGAGATGTCCATTTGATCTGATGTTATATTAGAAATAAGATTAACTCTTTTCTTCCATTAAAGCTTAATTCTAATCTTGCTTAGAATATCAAAGGCTGTGCTTTTCCCAGTGTTATTCAGGTGAACAGGAGCCATGTGAAGCTGGTAGAGTTAAAAAGGTTCAACACTGAGGGATTTATTACACCGAGCCAGATTGTGGCTCTATTAAAATCTKCTGGGATTACTATTTGACTATGCATCCTTTAAAATTGTCCCAATGTATGCTAGAAACAATGGCTAAAATTAACATTCCATTCTAAATTAATTCTACATTAATCCGCCAAGAGAACTGGTGATTCCTTTTTAGCTCAATTATTAGATTTTTTTCAACAGTGTTAATTATGCTGTTTATAGCATATTTTATGTTTATTCCAGTAGAAATATGGCTTTTACTTATGACAAAAATATAGAAAATCACTTGAATCATATGAGATCATATACAGTAGGTAGTCAGGTAGGTTGTATAAAGGACTTGTAAAGAGAGGCAGCCTTGTCTGAAAACTGAAGCAATAGATTAGGAAGTAGAAATTTTCCACCCAGCTCATCTACAGTTTTACTGTGAAGAGCTGGTCAAATGGCTTCACTTTTGAAGCTAAATTGTATTGTCTTTTGGAAGGTGCCCTAAAACATGTCTCTTTCTTAGGTGATTACACTCTCACATGATTACAGTGACATATTTTGGCTTCTAAGAATGCTAACAAAAGAAACTTTGGAAAAATAGATTCATTCCATACAGAATATATTCCAAAGAAGCTATTTTTTAATTTAAATAATGAGCTTGGTACATATTTTTCTTAACAGCCTGTTGTTCAGCTGAAACATTTTGTCTGATTTGATGAAGAACTTAGCTTGAGGAGACATCTAACCTGAGGAATTTAAGTTCAAATATCCCTATAGTTGACAATGCTATTTGCAATTGAAAAGGCAGTATGCTAGCATGTTAAAAAAGGTATAGATACCTTACCTGACCTGCRTAAGCAGGTGGAACAGCAGTTTAAGAGCTGAAGATATTAGACGGCCAAGAGAGGSAGAGGTCCGAAGATAAGAGGTGCAGGTGGTTTCTGCTGAGCGGGATGGGAATCGAGAGTCTTGGGTGGTTTCTGAGGCTGCTCGTTAGGCGCCAGGTCCTGCACTGAGGTATGTTAACAGCTGGGAAGCACCCTTTTGTTTTATTCATTATGGGCCACACTTAGTAGTACAACTGTATTTTGAATATGTGGAGGATTTGCCTGCTTTTCCCCTAATCCTGAGCTCTGTAGGAGAGTGATAGTATTTCTGTTTTGCTTCCACAGACTTGGGTTTCAAACGCTTGTTCCCAGTTCCRTAGGCCATTCTCTGTAGATTCTTGTTAGTCTTTGAGATTCTCRTAATCCATATCTGACATTACCTTCAGTTGCCCTTAGCAGCCCCATAATCTGCTTTCTAAACAGACTTTTTATTAAAACCATTAAAAATCCAGCTCCCCTGTTAAAATTAAAGCTGCTTTTCCTCAAGGTGGAAGATCTTACACTTAGACAAGTCTCAAACCCACGCCCTTAAATAATACAGGCCAAGCAGGGACGTTCATCTGTGACAGGACCACAACATAAATTGAAGCCCAATGACTTTGAAGAGCTTTGTCATAAGAAAACTGTGTGATTATTGTTTTCAGTTTGCAATGGTATTTGAAAATAATGTCCTGAGTGAAAGCCCAACAGGTTCCATCAAAAACTAGAGAAATTTGTAAAGCTGCTCAGAGGAACTGACAATTTATTTCTTGCAGCCTCAAAGACCAACTTAAATCTAGGGTATCAGGTTCTCTTAGTTATACCAAAGCAGATCAGGAATAACTTTTTTGAAGACATTTAGTACAAAACTAGWTAAAAGATAGTAATTGTTTCACGTTCTGGAACTACATCCTAAGCAATATGTTTGAATTCTTCCAGTTTTGATATTATGCTCAGCAATGCAAGTAAMACACAGACATTTTAGGTTGAATACYCTCCAAAAATATATCAGAATCTGCTAACTATAAAACGTTTCGTGTTGCTAGGGAGTCCTCTGTAACGTGCAACTCTGCTCAATATGTAATATTTCCACCAGGTTCTACAGTGTCAGTGTTCCCTCCATTCCCAGTTAGCCCAGTCGCTCCTACAGCCCATGCTCCCTGTAACACAGGTACCTTTTCCCGGCAACGAGCAGGATCACCCCGAGCAGCATCACTGTTGATGAGCAACAATGTACTCCCCGCTGGGAGCACCGGGCCTCGCTGTCTCCGCTGATGCCGAGAGCTGCCGTGCAGGGTCAGCGACCCGCCGTTGGGAAGGGCTCCCGTCCCGGGGCTCTTGCGCGTTTCCTTTTGCGCTCTGCGTTGGGCAGTGCGTTGTTGTTGGCCAACAATGTACTGCTGGTAGCAGGCGCTCACGTAGTCCTTAGCTTGCTGCATGTGGCCCGTGGCTGTGCTTAAAACATCAGCTAATCCCACTGCGTTCGTGGGGCTGTAGAGCAGAGAGACTAATGGCTTTGCTTGCTGAAGCTTATCAGACAAATAACACTTTTGCAGAGGATGTTTTATAGGCTTTTGCTTTCAGTAGCATAGATAAGAAGTAGCTTCTTTCTCTGCCATTGTGAGGACAGTGTACTGAAAATGACAAACCCGTGTTTATTCTGTGAAAGTTGGAGATGACCTTTGTGCAATCCATTCATTTTGCCAGCAAATATCTCTGTGTTTGTATAAGAGAAATGATGTTGTGTGTAACTTTTTACATCACTGAATGGTTACTACGTGGAGGTCTGTTTTACTCCTCCATACTGATGCCACTTGAAATGACAAGGATCTTACGAGTCAACTCGAACACCAAGCAATGTTTTTTTCACTGTATAAAGTATGAAAAATAATCTGTTTACAACATGAGGCGAGTAAAATGCTTGTATGTTTGTAAGGCTGTTCATGACAAAGCATAGCTGTTTGCAGAGTTCATCAAAAGCCTCTGGATATTGAAGTACACGCATGCAAACACATTATTTTTAATTTTTTGTGAGATGTGATATGCTTTCATGGTAGCCCAGATGAAGTCATAGTCACAGCTGCACTGAATTCCCCATCCCACACACCACATAAAATTTAGTAAAAGAAGAAAAGGCAGTGAACACGACTGGCACTATGAGAAACCTGGAGCTATGGTGAGTTGTTTGTTTTCCAAAACAGTTTAATTTTTCCTTTGTCTCTCAATTCACTGTTTCCCTGAGCAAATGTAATTCAATGATATTCATGAAGAAGTTAGCTATTTCTGATTGTAGATTTTTATTTGCTGCTTAGAGGATTCATAGCTCTCCTTTTCATATTCTGGAAGCCTCGGCTCTGTGTAGTCAGTAGCTGATTTTTATATTAAAAAAATAAAACCAAAACAAAAGACCTCTCTTTGACAAGAGGCACTGCCAGGCTTGACGGTGATTAGACCATGGAACTGCACATTGGGTGTGAAGAAGTATTAAACCTCCATCACAATTCAGTATGTAGTTCTTGGTCAATCCAATGAGTTTTCCATTCTCCTTGCTTTTTTGGAACTGACACTGACAGTGTCCACTCTTCATAGATTTCATGGATTTTTTTTTTGGCTGAAAGAAAATGTGGTTGTGTAAGTGCAGAGTCGGGTGGGACTGTGTCATGCTATTGAAAATCTGCTGTGAACCTGTGGGAGCTATTGTAAAGGAATGGGCTTTGATTTTTCTTATAGATCGTCAATCTGACGTGGTTTCTTCAGCCTAAGGAGGATCATCATAAGAAGATATTGAACTTTCTGGCCTCTARGAACTGAACCTCAGGCTGCACTTTGTCTCTTTTCTTCAAATGTACAGAATTTTACCATTAAATTAAGCTTAACCACTTTTAATTTCATTTTATTATTTATTTTTAACTTTTTTATTTCATCCATATACTTTGTACATATTTTTGTGAGGAAAAATATGGAAATAATGCTAATGAAATGCAAATAAAAATTTAATCTGCTCATTGTGTTCTTTTTCCTCTGTATCAAACACATACAAAAACACAAGGTCCTCCTGAGCACTCATGTTGTTAAGTGTTTGGTTCAGATTTTACTTAATCCAGTGGAATGCAGTTGTTGCTGCTAATGGTTGTAGCAGCAGCTTCATAGAAAATGCATTTAATGCATTATTAACAAGCCTTCTCCCTGGACTGGTTGATTATATTTAGATAATTTTCTGAAGGACAGAGTGAACTTCTTCAGTAAAACAGTTCCGAATGAAGAATAAACTTGTTAGAATCATTTCATATGCATGATCATATGCATGAAATAGATCGTCCTAAGAGCAGTGTACAGTTGTACAGTTTATATCACTTTGTCGAAGAAATATTGTGTATGTAGTGGTGTATTCCATGCTCTTGATTCTATAAAACATTCAGGAGTGTTTCTGTGTCTGAAATTTGAGCTGATATGTTTCAATCGATTCCCATTTTGCAGGTAAGGAAGATGGAAAATTCTGTAAAAAGGTGGCTGTCAGGATGACCATCCGCAAAAACGACTGCAGAAGTAACACACCAGTAAGTAAATACCAATCACAATTTCTTTTAATAGAGGGGGAAAAATTAAGAAAAGTGAAAAATAAGGAAAAACTATGTTACTGCTGTCTGCGTTTCTCTCTCTCTTGGACAGGGACAGAGATTTGAGTTTCATAGAGTTGTTTTAATGTTGCCCTACACTCTCAGAACTTGTCTTTTCAAATAATAAAAAGGTGGGGATAAAATTTCTGTTGTAGCTGAAGAGCACRGAGAAATCATCATTAATCCCAATAAGATAATCGAGACCTATCTGGGCAACATGTTTAAGAGTTTATTGCTCAGACATAGGTTTCAGAAGGGGCTAGGATAAATGCACTTGCACATTGCAGTGCAGTTGGATTTGGGAGCCCCMTTTCTCTGGGCCTTCTTGAGAACCCCTCGCTTTATTTTAGGACTGACAGAATTTGCTCATTATTCTTCATATTTGTTCCCAGGTGAACATTGTTTCGTGTGACGGAAAATGTCCCTCTGCCAGCATTTATAACTACAACATCAACACGTACGCGCGGTTCTGCAAGTGCTGCCGGGAGCTCGGCCTGCAGAGACGGACTGTGCAGCTATTTTGCACGAGCAATTCAACTTGGGTCACCTACTCAATCCAAGAACCCACAGACTGTTCTTGCCAGTGGTCTTAAAAAACACAAAAGAGGGGAAAAAACAGCAGGCYCAGCTATTCAGCAGCAGGAGATATTTTGGATACTCTATCCCTAGAAAGTAAAATATGTAATGCACATCAGGTCTTGTGAAATGGTGAAGGAACAACTATTTTTGGGGAACTTTTCTAAATTTTTACAGAATGGCTTTGTACCATTGGTTTTGTGAGTCGTCTTCATGTTCATTTCGCAGGGATCATTTTAAGAGCTCTTGTGATACGTGCCAACGGGAAAGGTGAAGCGATTCCTTTAGAGGCACCTCAAGAGGAAGAAAACCTCCTATTTCATTCTGGAAGGTTGATCCGCGCTGTGTCAGACACACATTCCTGCTTTAAATCACTGACTCACAGGCTCATCCGGCAGCGGTCTGATATTCTGAATTTTTTTGCAATACTGTAAATACATTCAGTGCCTTTTGAGAAAAAAATTGTTTGGGGAATATGAGGAGATTTTTCACTTTAAATCATATTCATAGTGTGAAGTAGAGTGTCTATGAGAAATTAAATTACAGATCTTTTGACTGGGGAAACACTGTCATTGCTGGTAACTGTATGTAATTTTCCCTGGTAATAATTTCAATTTTTCTAGTTTAATTTTACGTTGTAGTGAAAAGCATCATGGCCAATTTGTAATCTATTTAGATTAGTAAGTAGTAGTAAATTTATCATTTTTACAATATGACATACACTGAAAATACAGAGRTGTAACCAATGAAAACCATTTTACATTCTTTTATATAGAAATATCCTAAATGAAAATGCTAATCTTATAAAATGCACTGTATTTGAACTGTTTCTGTAGGAGAATGAACTTTGTTTAACACTGATTTTAAAGACATGGGAAGTGTCGTTAGGAAAAAAAGAAAGCCAGAATTATGTATCTATCTGCAACAGAAACAGACAAGCCAAAAACATTTTTCACCAGTGTAGCAGAATGTAACTTGCTGTGTCAAGAGCATTTGTTATTGCAATCCTACAAATGTAAGGCTGTCATTTAAAAAGCAGCTTTGCTTGTGAACTTGAACAGCCACCATCCTGTTTTAATGAAACTAGTAATTATTCTCCTCTGTACTACTATTGCTATCCTTGTTTCCCAACTAATGCCACTGTGATGCAGCAAAATTTCGATTGCTTTAATTCTGTAGCTCAAAACTGCAGAGAACACATAGTCTGTACACTTTAGATCCTAAAATATGAAAAATAGATCACAGAGTAACTTGTTAGAAAGCTGCTTCCCTGCGGTTAATCCAAAGAAAATGTGTTGTTAAAGTGATGTGAACATTTTTGGTATTAATTTTATATACTGTACATKTCATTCTTACAATACCTAATAAACAACAGGAAGTCTTTTGTTACAGCTAAACTTGCTATCAGTGTAAAAGCAGCTCACTATCAAGTGATTCAATACAGAGCATTTGTTAATTTCTTTTTCATCATTTTTTTTCTGATTCCACTAGTACYAGTGATCTAATATGACATCAAAAAAGCCCTGCAGATGTCTTTTTTCAAAATATTCTCATATGAATCCACTTTCATCCTCAAAACCACAACATTCATCTGTGGCATTTTATTCAAAACAAAAATTGGAAATCCTTTGCATGTTGAAGGATAGCAGCGTATTTCTGACACCATGCAAAGAATATATAGATGGATCACGTCCTCCCTGCTTCTATTTTGCAGCTTCCTTTAAACTTGCTCAGGATGACAGCAGTGAACAGACTGTGTTTGGAGTAAATAAGTGTAAGAGCTTGGGCACGGCAGAGCTGTTGTGGAGTGATAGTTACCTTGCAGTACGTGAACTCCCTCCGATCTCGCTGTAGTTTGTGCTGCCTCCTGCCCGCTTATTAAGATATATTCCTTGTTTGCATCCATCTCCAAGGACTGAGCTAGGGCAGAGCTTGGGAGGAGTGAGTGCATCCTTCCCCAAACCCGGAGCTGGGCAGCAGGGGAAAATAAATGCTATTTACAGGGAAAATAAATACTATTTACAAGCCCCAGAGCTGAGCCAGGCCTTGAACCCGGCGGCCTGAAATTCAGACTTTTGCTGTTGTTCAAGGCCAGCTCCTGCCTCCCGTAATGCCACCTGGCAGTGTCACCCGAGAGGGCACGAGGTAGCAGAAGGAGCTTTTTCTCTTGCTCGCAAGCAAGGAGGCGCAGGATGTGAAGGGCCAACCAAGAAAATGAAGAAAAGATTTAAAGCAGCAATTCAGTCGAATGAGGTGCCGTTTCCCCCAGTTGCCACTGCAGTTTCCAGCAAAGATCTCCGTGCTTGCAGCAGCCTGGGGCAGTGGCCTGTGCAGCGTGTTGGGGCTGAGGTTTGGCGGCTGCTGGAGGAGCAGGCTGGCTGCTCCGGTGTGTCCATTAGCCACAACCAAACGCTGCTGCCCCTTCCCCTTCAGGGGCCCAACAATAAACACTGCGCTAAGACCCTGCTTCTGGTTTTGTAAACACCAGGCTTATGCTGACAGCAACTAGAGGACAGATCCCTGCTGCTTGCAGCTGGCTGTGGAAGGYGCTTCCCGCCCTCCGTGGAGGCTAAATCCCTGTGCAGATGCTCAGCCCGTCTGCCTTGGAGTAGATCAAAGCAATCCCGACCTGGAGGTGCCTGTGCCTTGCTCCATGTCCGTGCAGAGGGACTCGTCCGGGAGGAAAACCTGCCCTTGTTTAGGCTTGCAGGTCTTTGGAAACCCAGGGGATCTGCCCCGTTGCCGTCTGACCCTTTCCTGCAAGGGGCACTTGGGCCACAACAAAATCCGAGTCTGAAAAAACAGCTTTTCTTTTGTGCTAAGAAAGTGTTTTGCTTGGTTTTGTAGGTGAGATGTGAAAGGGATGGAGCACTAAAGCCACTCTTGACTTCCGATGCACATACGGGCATCTTCCCACCGCAACGTCGCGCGTGGCTTTATTCCTCTGAATGCATTTGCCACTCGTTGAGGCTGATAAGGTAACTCGGGCCTTTATGTAAGTTCTGGCAAAAATTGTGTTTCATCTTCAGCCCGTGAAACAAGTCCCTGGCAAGGAACAGGATCCCTTCCAGTCTTGTAAGGACAGAGTCCGTGATTCCTGCCTCAAGCACCAAACTGACTCAAGTGGGCAGAAACTTGCTGCACTGTTTTGCGGAAGGAGCAGGTTTCCTGGGAATCTCAAAGGAAAACAGAGGAGCAGAACTGGGCACTGCTCTCTCGCAGAGATGTCTTTGGGACATCCCTGTCCCGGGCCACGGCAGCGCCGTAGGGGAAGGAAGCAGCCAAGGCTCACAGTGAATTGTGCCCTGGCCGTTTTCCAGGGAGCACCCAGGGCCCCAAGAGGCCAAAAAAACCAAGAGGTGCCTGTCCCAGAACTGGTGCCTATGCACWGCCCTTAGCAAGGGCTTTGGTTAGGGGAGCACTAGGGTGGCGGCTCCAGGGAGAAAGACGGGAAGGGAGCAGGATCAGCCGGAAGCGAATTCCCATGTGGCCACGAGGGCCCCTGTAACCACGGGCACCTGTGTGGCCGTGGGGCTGACGGGCAGCTGGAACCCCTTTGCACGGGAGGGGGTTAACGAGGGGTGGTGCCCGGGGCGGGCAGTGAGGGCATCTGTATTTTAAGCCTGTTCGGGGGTGG